GTGTGGGCGGGGTGGGGGGGGGGGGGGGGTTGGCAACAAGCTGGTCAACCCGCACTAAGTCAGGGCTCAGGAGGAGGCCTTTGGTTGGAGGTGAAGCAGGCGCAGGAAGTCCACCCAGAGCATGGAGCCCAGGAAGGTGTTGCCCGTACGCACTGCAAAGGACAGCGCGGCGCACACGGCGGGCTTGCCGTGGAACAAGGTCTCGATGCCGCGCTCCTCCACCAGCCCCGCCAGAACCTGGTACCGCAGGTTGGCCGAGCTGGCCATGTACAGCCCGTACGCGCCGGCCATGGTCTGCGGTGGGGTTTGGGTGGGCGGGTGAAGGGGATGTGTCAGGCAGTAGGATGGGTAAAGGGGTCCACAAGCGAGTCGGATAAGGCATGGTTTGACGGGTTCTACCACCCAGGCCTGAGGCCGTCCATGCCGGCAGCCACCCTCCTGTGGCGCTCATCAGCCCGACATGTAGAACTAGTTCCCCCTCCCCCCCAGGACAAAGAGGTCCCTCCCGGGGGTCGCACCAGCACGTCCTGGGGCGCATTGAGCGGCACAAAGGTGGGATCCAGCGAGGTGCGCAGCGCCACCATGCCGTTGGTCACGCCCACGCCAAGCAGGGAGGCAAAGAAGCCCACGGCGGCCAGCTTGGAGCCGTTGCGAACCACCGCGCCGCCGCGCTGGAGCAGGGAGAAGCGCGGGTTGCCCGGCTGCACGCGCTGGAAGGCGTTCTCCGGGCAGCCGGAGAAGAGGCGCGACAGTGCGCCGGTGGCCTGCGGGGCCGCACCGCTATATCAAGAGAGGAGGGGGGGGGGAAGGGAATTTGAAGTACGGGTGTGAGGCGGTGTGCTACACAGGGAGGAAGTTGTTGAGCCTGCGCAGATGGGTGTGTTGAGGTGAATGCCGCGAGCGGTGCCCCCAACAGTGCTTGTCAGCTGATCAACAGGGAGTCCTCCGAGCTGGTGCACCAGCAAGGTGTGCAGGCACACCGCGCTGGTATGATACCTCCAGCTAGGGCGCTCCATGCAATTGTGTCAGCTGGACTGGGCCGGAGATTCACCTCCTCCGATGTGTCATCGGACGCGCACACGATCTGCTCAAACCCACTTCTTCTACTACACTCTGGGATCCTCATGACTACCCCACCTCCTTCCCACCAAAACCAGAAAGGAAGACATCCCATCACAGCCACGCACGTGAGATTGTAGGCGGGCGCCGGCAGCCAGACCAGCATGAAGTCAGCAATGAGGGCCATGATGACGTTGGCCAGCACAAAGTCGAGCTGGGACTGGAACTCGTCACCGCGCTTGGTGTACTCCGCGGTCAGCTTCATGGTCAGGCCGATGCCGAGCTCGATGCCCACCTTGAAGAGGAAGTTGGGGTCAGCCAGCAGGCGGGCGCGGGCGCCGGGGAAGGACAGGAGCCAGGACAGGAAGGGGTTCTTCAGCATGTCCAGGTACCGCGCCAGGACCTCCTGGGAGATGCGGCCGGCACGGATGGCGGCCGCGATCTCTGCAAGAGAAGGGGGGGTCCAGTGTTGAGTATGGGGTATCAAGGGTGTGGGAATAGGGATGGATCAATTTGTGGCGTTCATGAGGCTGAGCAACAGCTGCAAGGTTCCTGAGCTAGGTCTGAGCAAAAGTCAGGGTCTCAATCAAGCTCCTGATCCAGGCCATGTGAGGGCCTCCAAGAGGGAGGCCTTCTCGTTGATCAGGTCAGCATCCCTGTGCGCGCACCTGCGGGGAACCGGTCGGTGGCAGCCTTGCCTGCCAGGAGCAGGGCTGCAGTGATGGAGGAGTCCCTCCCCTCACCCCCCCTGCCCATCCCCACCACCGCCCCCACCACCGCTGCCGCCATCGCCGCCCGGGGGCTGAGACCCGAAGCTGGTCGTGGATCCGGATTGGGCTTGTGGGGCCAGCCGACAGGGTGTGCCTCGGCGGATCAGGCATGGCAGGCGGGGTACGGCCAGGGGGCACGGCTTCGGTCCAGAGCGACAAGTTGTGGTGGCATGGAGGGGTGCACGGCCTCCGAGGCTGGCGGACAGCCCCAGGGTCATGGCTGCGCTGTGGCTAGGACGGGGGTGCAAGGGTTTGACGAGTCGGCACTCAGCGGCGCGCTGTTCGTGGGATGGAGCGAGCTGTGCAGTGTCGAAATGTCAAGCTAACGAGGCTGCACAGATGCCCCATGCCGCGCACATGCGGGCGGGTTCAAATGAGCATCGCGATGCTGGGATGCCCCACGTGACAGCACAACCACCACTTTCATGAGCTTCAGGAAATCTCATGGGCATGATGGAATAGTCGATGAATGTCCCGGAAGAATTTCCACGATGGCCCCTGAAAAGCGCTCAAGTGTTCCCATGAACACGTCTGTAGCGCTCAGCCTCCTTTTGTGCATGATGGGGCCCAGTCAGGATGGACCGTACTCCCAACCTCAATTGAGCCACTGTGCATCTGGTGCAACACGAACCTGCTGCTGAAGGAATGGCCACCACTTTTCTCACGATACCATCGAGGGGTGCTTGAGACTCTGCTGACAGCTGTGTCAGAGCACTGTCTGCTTCCTTGCCAGAACCGTCATGCTGGGGCCCTGGGAAGCCTCACAGGAGAGGATCACACCTGCACATATATGTTAAGACAGCAATTTGTGCAGGAAAAGATAAAACCTACTGTTTCGCCGCGACTGGTGGTCCCTCTTTCCAGAAGAGAACCCTCTCTAACGTTACGGACTTTTCTGCAAAACCACTGGCTTGAGACATCCGAAAGCATCTCAACTGGTCGAGAAATCATTGTTGCTGTACCTGCTGTCGGCTATGAGCAGTCGTGCCCACCTGACGGGGCAGAAAGGTGCGGGGCGTACTCACAAGGTTTGCCCGGATTCGATGGAGGAGATTCCGTCGTGCAGGTGCCTCGTGGTCGATTCATCCACACAAACAGATGCGTCAAGTTTCTTTCTATCCCCGTGGAGTTGAGTAAGTCAAGCATCCGACCCCCTCCAGGTCCCACACGTACCTGCTAATCCGGACGAACGCCAAGTACTGACCTCCGGTACGATGCCCGGAGGGACCGTCGATCCCGCTCTGCTTCCTCTTAGCAATCGCCAGAGCTGCGTACTGGCCAGCAGTATCCCCGACCTGCAGCTGGGAAAGGTGCGCACGTGCAACATACTCAGAGCAAGGGGGTGGGGTGGGGGGTACCTGCTGAGACTCTTTGCTCTTCCAGTTCCAGCGGTGCAGGGCTGTCCACCCCATTCACCAAAACCTGCACTCACAGGACCTCGGAATCCCCGGCCTCAGTTCCCTGCAGCTGAAACTGGCGCGTGCGCCCTATGCCGCGCGCTCCGTGGAGTACACCGAGAGGGCCATCACACTCTGGCAGTTGGAGGGCCGGGCCCCCATTCCCGTGGAGGTTCAGATGGAGATCACCCAGGCGCCCTCGCTCTTTGCCCTCCCGGTCATGCAGAAGAGGCCCTGGGAGACCCCATTCCAGGCACGGGGGCAGTGCAGGGTGCTGGGCTGGTGCCAAGGGAATGGGGCCAGGGCACCACCGAGCCGCTGCTCACCCCCTCCATACCCACCTTGATGGCAGACAGCAAATTGTTTCCCTTGGGTCCATGCTCTTCTTACTTTTGACCTGCCACATCCAGCATGCACAGATTGCTGCCGTGCCATGTGAGCCCTGTCACTCTGCCCAGGGTCCGCGCGTGCCCTGCGGGCCCCAAATCACATAACCCCAAACCGTCCCACTCTCGGTGCACCTGCAGATTCGCATGTCGTGGCGCTGCAGCATTCCCCTCCGCTTCCCTGCGAGCGTGACCCCTTGCGCCCTGGACGAGGCGGCGATGAGTTCACCCGAGGACTGGACCCCCAGTCTTGAGGGCGCGCCGACTGGGCTGTCGCTGGTCGGCTCCAGCGCAAAGGAGCGGGAGATACTGCTGACGGCGGCCCCGGTGAGGCTGGGCAGGCAGGGGTGTGGGAGGGGTGCCGACACCTGCGAGTTGTCTGGACCACCAGGGGTGTCGCGGTACCCAAGCTGGCTGGTAGGCCATTGAGGTGGGCTCCGCCTGAGCCAAGTCCGCGCTGGCGATCCAGCATTCAGATACATCCATGCTTCCCCTCAGTCGGCCACTTCCCCTTCCCTCCCTCTCCTTTCAGGACAAGACAACCTTTGAGTATGTGGCAATGTTCACTTTTCCCAAACTGGCCTTTGGGGCTCCATCTCAGGTGTTGTTTCCTGTTTGGGCTGACTGGGATGTGGTGTCAAGGGGGAGCTGGCGGTGTTGCTCTGGTGACTGGTGGACACCAAATGGCCCCTTCCTCTGGCAATGCTGGGGTGAACCGCACCACTCTGACAGCAGGCATTGAGTGCATGCACTTGGAGGCCCCAGTTCGAGATGCTGTCGCTCCTCACGCGCCTCTGTTGCCCCCTGCCCTGCCCACACCCCTGCCTCCTCCACCGGGGTCACCGCAGATGCGGCCTCGCTGGATGGCGTTCGTGGGGCGCCTGTTCACCCCCGATTCGTACCTCGTCGCTATCCTGAAAGTCCCCACTGTGGTCATGTCCAGGAACGCCGACCAGCAGAGCAAGGTGTGCTAGGAGGGGGGAGGCTGCGCAGCGACTGGCAGAGCCCGGAGGTCCCTGCCGTTCATTCCGCTCTTCGGCATGCTGCAGGCCCAGTCCCTGCTGTGGGGTAAGGTGATGCCTCTGAGCAGCACCAGCCTTGACTACACCCCTTTCATCGACCATGTCAAGGGGTACGTGGAGCTGACGGCGTGTCGGTGTGCATGGGACAGTGCATGGGTTGGGACCTGGGGTTGGAATTCAGCGCGAAGACTCTACGGCCATGTATTTCTACTACCCAAGCTCGGTGACTGGCCTGGAGTGATGCACCTGCCTTGCCTCCGCAGCTCCCTGGCAGGCCGGCGCCATGTCAGCACCAGCGCACCCCAACTTGCTTCCCCTTCCCTCACAATTATTTCCCATCCCGCGCAGCCGCTTCACGCACCTCGGCATTCTCCGCCAGCTCACGCCCGCCGACTTTGAGTTCCTGGCAGCCAAGGCAGGCTTTGTCAAGGTGGATGGCAGCATTCGCCGCAAGCCCAGCAGCAGCGAGTTTTCGACCTTCAACATCTGGCTGGATGGGTGAGGGGATGATGGGAGGCCGCATAGTGATGACGTTTAGGGAATCGGGGCATGAGCAGCCTGACCCCGGCCAAGTCCTGGCCTGACAAAGATTCCTGGACGAACCACATCCGTTCGCCCTGGGAGCCCTGATCTGCACTGGCCCCCTTCAAAATCCCCCGCCCCCGTCGCTCCCTGCAACAGCCACTTGCAGACCATACACCACTGCCGGGCCCATTTCGAGCGCCTGGATCCCCTCATCCTGGCAGGCTTTGCGTGCACTCGCGAAGCTGCGAGGAAGGCCATCTGGGACCAGCCTCCGGTGAGGGGAGCCATGTCCGCCTGCAGGATTGCACAGACAGGGCCAGGGCTCTCGGCCTTTGTCGGCCGTGCATGGTACGGGTTGGCAGCCCTGCAGGTGGCAGCCTGATACCCATGTGCCACACGTCTGCGCTCCACAGGGGGCTTTCCTGCTCCGCTTTGGCAGCAAGGGCGGTCAGCTGGTGATGACCCTGAAGAGCTTCTCTGGCAGCGTCGATCATGTCCTCCTGAATCACTTCCGCCTCCAAGCGGAGGGGCTGGAGGTGAGCCCCGCTGCAAGTCCGCTTGAGACAGGGAAACGGTGCTACGGCATGACACACTGTGCGCCCATGAACTGGCTGCCTCTGAGGCTCCACTGGCCAGGCTGGGACTGCTCGCGCACTGCAAGTCCATGCATGCCAGAGGCTTCCTTCTCTGCCCCGCTCCCAGAGCTGCAGGATCCTCCACTTCCACCCAAACACCCTTCGCTCTCCCCTGCCGGCCCCTGCAGAACACCGTGCAAGCCTACCCAGAGGCGCGGCTGCTCCTGGACACCAGCACCGGGTATCTACACAATCTGAACCATGCCCTGCAATGGCACTATATCAATCAGGATGGCGGCGATGTCCCCGGCCCCAAAAGGTACCGTGCGAATGTTTTCTGGGGGGGTGCGTGGAAGGGGGTTGGCCGCCATATCGGGCTTCTCCTTACAATTTGCCCGACGGCACTTACGCACCTGGTGCCCTGGCAAGGCCGCAAATTATAGCGCGGGCCGGCAAGCACGTCGCGGCTAACAACCCATCCCCTCCTCCTGCTCTTACCCCCCTTCCCCCGTTTGTGGTGCTGTGCCCCACCATCCGCTGCCCCCCCTCGCCCCGTCTGCGCAGGCGCAAGGACTACTGCTCCAGCCCGACCGAGTGCTCCTCCCGCAACCAGGGCCCCTGCGAAGGCTCCGGCAGCTTCCCATCGCTTGCTGGCTTCCCCCTGGGGCCTGGGCTCCCTCATGGGCCCGTGGACATGCTGCTGGCCCCCCCGGGACCAGGGGAGGGGCATTCGGCGCCGCCCTCCCTCGTGCGGGGCCCAGGCGCCGATGCCCACACGCTGTACAACCCGCTCATCGATGGGTCTTTCCTCCTGCCCTCAGGCATGCTGCCCCACCCAGGCAGCGCCGACTTCCTGCACCTCAGCGGGGGCCAGGACGGCCCTGGCGCCTGGAACTAGGCGTGGAGGGCGCCGCTGGCAGTGCGGAGTCGTCGGCTCGCCCGACGCCCCGAGGCACCCCAGCCTTCTGGGACTTTCCCTTCCCCCGGCCCGCATTTCCAACCTGACAACCCTGTCGCACTCCAACCCTTGCACTCGAACCCAGCGATGGGCCCGCCCGTCGCGCATGGGTCGCGCCGTTTCCTCCTCCTTTTTAGGGGGCCGTCTGCCCTTGACCCAACCCCACGACAGCGCTTGATCGTTCTCGTCCTTTGCTCTGACCCCTCCGTGCACGGCTTCGCCACTCCCCTCCCCTTGGCTGTATGGCCCGTTTCCCAGCTGCCTCCGACCTTCCCAATAACGCTCCCTCCCTGCAACTGCCAGCCATTGCCCTGACGATGTACACACTCCACGCGCACACACACACGAGCGCCCGGCGGGGCCGAGCTGCGAGGGCACAGAGGCGCGGCAGCGCGGCCGGCGGTGCACGTGTGAGCCGCCGGCCCATCCCCCTCAGATCTCACCCTCCTCGGCGGCGCCATGCTGCGCTGATCCGACGGGTTTCCTGTCCTGGCCCCGCCCCTCGTCGTAGTCCCTTGCTGGCCGGCGGTCCCGGCTGCGGCTCCGGCCCCCCGCATCCCGCGCCCCCTCCTCCCTCCTTCGCCGTCCGGTCTCGTCGCGGGGCCCCCTGCCGTCGCCGTGCCGCAGCGGCCGCGCCTCCCTCGACCGATCGCGGTAGCGGCGATCCCGCTCGTCGCGGCCCCCCCGCTCCCAGCTGCGGTCCCTGCGCCGCGCCCCATTGGACGCCTCCCGCTCTCGGCTGGAGTGGCTCCAGTCCCGCGGCTTGGCGGGGGCCTCGTCGGGGCCGGCGCCGCGCAGGGCACGCAGGCGCTCGCTGCGGGCGCGCTGCTCCTCCAGCAGGCGGGCGTGCACCTCGTGCAGCTTCTTCCAAGCACTGCAGGCGAGAGGGAGGAGGGTGTAAAGGTGAGAGCATGCTCTGGGCCGGAGGGCTTGGAGCGGAGGAGGCAGGAGCGGGTGGGGGAAACCATTGTCCTGGCATCGAGGCATGGACCCCCACCCCTTGCCCCCCCCTCGTCTGCATTTTCAAGCAACAGGCACAGCCTTTGCCGCACCTCACGTCCAAGCACATGCACAGTGATGGGCCTGGCCCTGCATCCCCTCCCCAGCCATCCCCAAATAATCACAAAGCCCACAGCGCCGGGCTCACTTGAAGTTTCTTCCCTGGTGATGGTCCCTGAGCCGCGTCTCATCGTTGTTGATTATGAGCCCCGAGACGGGGCACACCTCCTGATGCAGGTTCTTGAGGGCGTTGTTCCCGGCTCGCGCCTCGGCTGCTGCCTCTAATGCCGCGCGCTGGGCCTGCAGTGGAAGCAGGGAGCAGACACTTTTTGAAGGAAAGTTGGCCGGCCCTCTCACTCTGATTTGGGACGTCGCTTGCTGGCAAATGACATCAGCGCCGTCATCTCCCCCCCGATCCGCGTATGTCCATGCCCTGGGGACTGTCGGTCCTGACAACTTGGGAGTTCACTGAAAATCCCCCAGCCCACACCAGCGACACCAGGGCAGCTCCACTTCCTCTTCAGAAACACGCACCTTGAGCTTCTCAGCTTCGTTGGTGGCCTCCATCGCGCCGTCCACCTCCCCCTCCTCCCCCAGTCTCTCCGCACGAGCCACCAGCTCCTTCATCTGGGCCGTCATGGCATCCAGCTTGGCCTGGTCCTCATGCAGGAGCAGGGGGTTCTCCACGGCACGCAGGCGCACGGTGTTGCTGTCGATGCGCTTCCGAAGGTCGGTCAGGAGCTTCTCCAACCAGCGCAGGAGCTCCGCCTCGTAGCCCAGGCGCTCCTTGGTGCGGTCGTCCTCCGCCTCGTACTGTGCCCTGCATCCATCGTCGTGGATGCCGGGGCAATCGCCACAGTCGTTCTTCGTGCGTCTGAATTCCTCATAGGGACAGAATCCCGACAAGTAGAACTTGCACACGTCTTTATCGGTGTGGTGCCGCTTCCTGGGCCTGCACAGTGTGGACGGATGTGGGTCGCCGGGCCCTCGATGGTAGGACGCCCTGCACGATGGTCAACTCCTCCCTCGCTTCTTACTTGTACTTGGCTTTCTCAGTGGCGCCTAGATTCCTGTCCTCCCCCATCAGCTGATCCAGCATGGCACGCATCTCGTCCATGGCGACAGAGGGGCAGGCGCCCCGCCCTCACAGCCTGTTCGGCTCAAGGGCTCTGATCGCGTCACCCACTCCAGAAGATGACGGTAAGTGACGAATGATAGTGGGCACAGGGATGCTGATGAAGATCTGTGATGAGACGCACATGGCAGAGACACCGGAGCACTCCAGGACGGGGGCCATGCTGCGTGAGCTGCGAGGACGAGCGGAGGGCCCTTATGATCGGTCATACCTCCTGCCCTACGGCGTGTACTGATCCGAAAATTCGGAGGTTGGCCATCCTAAATACTACTGTGTTCGGGAAAAGTGTACAATGGACCGACGGTCCCTCCGCGAGAGGAAGGTGTCGGAGAGGTTCGCCGTCCTCGACAAGGCCGACCAGCGCCAGGTGAAGTTGTATGATAATCATAGGGCGCACTAATACTATTGAGATACTGTCACGGGCTGCATCGCCATCATCGCATTGCTCCGTCACTGTGCAGGCTGTGAACGCTCGGCTGGAGGCCCTTGAAGAGGATGATGCCCAGGAGAACGCCCTGGCACCCGGCTCGGACGACGAGGAGTTTACCGTTAGAGAGGACTCAGATGGGGGTGAGCTGGATCAATGCGCCGGGCCAGCAACTGTCCTTTTGATCCTTTACCCCTGTCACGGGAGCAGTGGAGAGCCTCGCCACCCACCATGCGCAGAGTCAATCCCGGCCGCCGGCGGGAGCACAAAGAAGAGGAAGCTGAAGACAGGGAGCATGCGGAAGACGCGAGGCATGGTGGCGGAGCGGGCTCGGGGCCCCAAGCTCTTCCGGGACTGGCTAGAGGAGGTGGGTGTTTTGGCAGGGAATGTAGGCCCCCGTGCATGGCGCAGGCATTTTCCCACAGCGGCTTCGCCCATCTCGGGCGTGGAGCGCCGAGCTGCCATGGTCCTCACGTCGAGCGCAAGTGCCATGGGATGGCATATGACTGCGCGGGCATCGGGCGCGCAGTCCTGCTCGCCCGGCGAGTCTCACATCCGAGGCCCTGCGCGCAGGAGATCACCGCTCCCCCCCCCTCCCCCCCACCCACCCCGCAGGCCGACCTGGCCCACGATCCTGGACCCAACTACCTGACAGCTGCGATGGGCCCGCCGCGCAGCCGCTCCACCCGCCACAGCTGCACGGTGTGCGGCGACGCCTCCAAGTACTCCTGCACCCGCTGCGGCTCGCGCTTCTGCAGCCGTCGCTGCAACGCTACGCACGTGGAGACGCGCTGCCTGAAGTTCACGCTCTGACGCTCTGCTTTTTGGGGGCGACTGTGATTCTACAGCCAGCCCGCCGTGCAGACAGGTCGGGTTTGAGGCCAAAGTGGAGGAAAGGCAGGCGTCCCGTGCACAGTGCTTCAAGCCTGACATGGGTGGAGCGACCCAGTCAAGCACACGGGCAGCCCCGCCTGCCCCCGTCCCCCGCCCCCCAGCCACGCCTTCCACCCCCCTTCGCTTCATCGCATGCTGTGCCAGGTGGCAGAGCGCGCGCGGTGCAGGGCCGCCCGCACCGCCGCCTCCACGTCCTCGACCACCAGACGGGCCGGGTGGCGCTCACTGTTCCCTGGGCCGCGGAAGACGCCGGTGCGCACCAGGACGCTGGTCCAGGGTGGGCCGGCGGCGTTGGCCCCTGCCACGTCGGCCTCGGGATTGTCCCCCACCGCCCAGATGGCGCCAAAGGCGCGGTCTCCCCAGCCCAGCGCCGCGGCCTGGGCGTGCAGCGAGGCGGCGGCCAGGTCGTAGGGCGGCGCGTGGGGCTTGCCGAAGCGGGTGACGTGCGGCAGGGGCGCGCCCGTCACCTCCGTGTGCAGCGCCTGCAGGCAGGCCGCAAAGGCGCCGCCGCCGAGGCGGGGCGCGGCGTGCGCCCCGGCCCACTCCACATCCGGGTTGGAGAAGACGACGTGCACGGGGTTGGGGTTGCAGGTCCCTGCGCCCGGCGGCGGCCGGGTGGCGGGGCGGGCACCGGGCACTGCCCGCCCCAGCACGACGTCCAGCGAAGTCTGCAGCGCGCAGTACCAGTCGGAAGGGTCGTTGAGCACCAGCACTGCGCCGATGGGCTGGGCGGAGCCATCCCCGGCCGAGGGGCCTGGGGAAGGGGTGGGACGGGCGGCGGCGGCGGCGGCGGCCGACGGCGACTCACCTCCAACAGCCACCTCGGCAAAGGGCACGGAGGCGGGGTCCGCACGCACCAGCTCCTCGACGGTCACGCAGCGGCGCAGGCCGTAGCCGGCAGCCAGACTGTGGAGGTCGCCCCGCCCCACCAGCAGCATGCGGTGGTCGGCCAGGGAGGGCGCAAGCGCCTTGAGCGGGGTGTGGCTCTGCACCACCTGCGCCGCGCCCACCCGCACGCCCAGCTGGGCGGACAGGCGCCGGGCACGCTCCTCCTCCAGCCAGCCGCCGGAGTTGGTCAGGAAGACGATGGGGTAGCGCGGGAAGCCGGAGGCGTCGTGCAGCAGCGCCAGGGCCCTGGTGTGTTGGGGGCGGGGTGAAGGTGGTTGGTTTCCTTTGTGGGGTCCCACCTTGGTGTCCAGGGATGCTCGTGGTGATCATCAGCAAGATATGGCAAGGGGGTTGTGTGGTGTGCAATTGTGGTGTGCAAGACCTTGGCAGTAAGCTTAGAGGACCCATCAGTCATCAACGTCCTCAACAGAGAATGTGGGGAAACCCCGTCCCGCAAAGTAGCCACCACTCGCTCGCCTCTTGGCCGCTGGCAGGACCTGGCCGCCACGCATCAAAACGCCATCGATGTCGAACGCAAAGGCCGCCGGGCCGGGTGTGTGCTCATATATGTCCGTCGCGAGGCCCCGGGCCCCGATCCGGGAGACCAGGCCGGTCAGAGCCCATCCTCGGGCGAGCGTCCGACAAGCGGCTGCCATTAAAACTGCATCGTATGCTTTTGCTCGTGATCGAGCTCCTGTAACATGCAGCTGTCGTGGAGATGCGCAGTAATATAGTATCCTTAATGTGCGCGCAGCATGCCATTACTCATGGTAAGGTTCATGTGCAGCGAGGAGTTCCCGGTCAGGTGTTGACGATTCTCGATTCACCTGGGCATGGCAACCCCTTCTATTAAAAATAATACAAGCATTTTGCTCCAGCGCAAATCATCCCATCGTCCCTTGCAAGTGTATGTCACAACTACCCCGATTCCTGCACTGCGAAAGTGTGTCACTCAGGTCTCATGCAAACGCATGTGTTAAAGAGCAAATTCTACGCTGATCGGCAGTTATTTCTCCATTCTGCGAGGGCCCTTCCCATGATAGGCCAGCATCCATCAGGATGCGTCTCGCCTGCCCCAAGTAAGCTGAGCTCGCACCCGTGTTGTGGGGGCCCCTCTAGGGAGCCTTCCACCCTTTCCACCTGCATCCGTGCCCTGCGCCGCACCTACGCCGCACAGTGCTTGAAACTCAAGCCCCTCACCGTATTCGGGGTCTTGTTCTGTAACATTCCAACTTTAGGTCATATACAGCAGTCCACGTTGTAGGTTCTAACCCGCCCCACAACATTTTGGTATCGGAAACAAGTTCAAATCTTGGTCCCCGGGGGTCTGAGCCCTCCTCACAAGATCGTGAGAACGCGCCAGCGAGAGTACGCGACCAACACGGTCATGTGAGGAGGGCTTGGAGCCCCGGGGACGAGATCTCAACTTGTTTTCCGATACCAAAATGTTGTGGGGGCGGGCTGGACCCCACAACTTGGCGATTCAAAAATCGGCTCCGCGCGCGCTCCAAAACACGTATCTTCCCGCCAAGGCAGCAACGACACTGCTTTTCCCGGCGCGTTTGGGTCCCATCTCGCCAGAAATCCAGACACTGGAACTTCTTCGTACACTCAAACCTGGACCGCAAGATTATCGCGGCCCATCAGCTGGACTGGAGGCCAGTGGGGCAATCATCGTGCCCCTTCCAGAAGAAGTCGACGCCCAAGGGCTCGCACGGTCAGCAGTAGGCCTGGCATGCTCTGACACCACTGCGCAAAATGTCGACCTTGGTGCAGCCGCTGTTTGAGCCCGAGGATGTGTGGCCAGGCGTGCTCATGGACGACGATGTGCTGGAGTCTTTCCAGGCAAGCCGGTTGCACCTGGTGGTGCTGGAGGATGTCAGAGTGATGACATGCGTCGGTACCGGCTCGATGCGACTCATGGTCCCAAGGTACACCTGTCCCAAACTTATCCTGGGACTTGTCGCCTCGTAACTTGTCGCCTCTCGACACCCCATTTGCAGGCGAGTCCCTCAGCCTCAGCGGTCCAGTTTCCCCTGACCCACCAAGCCCTGGATGACCTGGACCAGTTCGAGATCAACCGGCCCCCATCCCCTGGCCAAGTCCTGGAGCTCCTGTCCGATGGAGTGGGGACCTCGCCCTGGGGTCTGGACGCTGGCGCCGTCGCCGACCCCGGGAAGCCAGATGAGGCTTTCGGGGAACTCATCCCCATGGCGCGCCCGATCCACACCCCCACCCGCTCCGCTGACGGCTCCGCCCACCACCAGACCAGCAGTGGAGAGGATGCCAGCAATACGTCGCGGTATCAGCAGTCCAGCCCCGCCAGCCAACAAGATGGCGCTGCGGGGGCCGACGAGGACGAGGCCAAGCGGGCGGTGAGCGGGGGCCGCATGGTGCCGGGGATGGGCTGGCGGGGGAAAGGTCGTGGTGCACGCAGGGCTCACTGCTGACCTGCTGCATGCCTCCTTGTCAAATTCGAGGTGATGGTTTCCAATGAGGGTGTCGGATTCTGGGACATGCTTATGGCCTCCCCCGCCTCATGAAGGATCCACTCACACCCCTCACCCAGATCCGCATGGCACGCAACCGCGAGAATGCGCACCTGTCTCGACAGAGGAAGAAAGCGCAGCTGGAGGGCCTGGAGCAGACGTGCTCTGCGCTGACCGGGCAGGTCCGCGCCCTCTCCACCTTTGTGGGCCAGCTGACGGCGGAGAACGAGCTCCTGCGGCGACACTTGGCGGCCGCCTGCACGGCGGCAGGGCGCCCCCTCCCGGACCTCCCGCGTGCACCCGGCCCGCAACTGGTCCTACTCCCGCCCCCGGCGCCAGGCGCGGCGCCCGTCGTGGCGCTCAGCCTCGCCCAGCCCCTCAGCGGTGCTACCGTGCCCCAGGCTGCAGCTCCAGCGTGCCCGGCGCAGGGGTCGGCACCAGAGGGCGTCGCGCCCGCCCCGACACCCTGCGGCGCGCCGCCGCCGCCGCCCTTTGCGCCGGCGGCGCCCGCCGCCCTTTCCGCCCTCGCGCCAGCGGCGCCCGCCGTGCAGTCTGCGGCCCCCGCCGCCGCGCAGGCCCCGCCGCCGCAGCCGGCCGGCCGCCGCGGCACGAAGCGCACGCGCCGCGTGGCGACGGGCACCGGCACCCTCCTCCTGGCACTCATGTCCGTCTTCCTGTTTGCGGGACCGCTGGGCCCCCGCCCCGCCCCGCGCCCGCCGATCGAGGCAGGGGGCGCGGCGCGCCTGGCTCAGAACTCAGGGGCAGGGGCAGGCGCCCTGCGCCACGCCGGCCGCGCCCTGCAGATGATGCCCGGCCGCGCCCTGCAGATGATGCCCGGCCGCGCCGCTGCCGCCGCCGAAGCGGGGCCAGGCCCCGAGCTCATGGGCGCACTCGCTGACCTGGCGCCCCTGGCCCTGTCCCTAGAGGGCGGCGGGCTGGGACCCCTGGACCCCCAGTCTGCCCTCCCAAGTCTGGCAGGTGGGTGGCGTTCTAGGGGGGAGGGTTTACACTCTGATCCCTTCAGCCTCGACTCGGGCAGAGGAGCCGGCCCGGCGCAAGTGTCTGAACTCCACACAGGAAGCGGTGCCCTGTGCTTAAAAATCGGGCCTGGCGTCCCAGTACGGATCCTGTATCTCACAATCCTCCTCTCTTTCTACCTGCAGAGCCTGTGTTCAAGGCGTGGGGCATGCCCCCCCCCGGCATCTGTCGCAAGCTGCACAGCATTGAGGCCGGGAGTCTGCCCCTCCCCCTGGATGTGTCACGCGGGGACCTGGTGGAGTTTTTGGAGGGGCGGCTGGGCGCGCAGGGCCGGGCCCTGAGTGCCGTGGCGCCGCCCCTCCCCCGACCCCTGGCGCTGCTACCGGGTGAGGGGCCGGAGGCGCCCCGCGACTACCCCGGGGCGGCGGAGAGCGTCGGCGCGGACCCCTCCCAGTGCCCCCCCAGCCCCACGCGCGATGTGGAGGAGGAGAGCGAGAATGTCGTGCGCCACGACTGGATGAGCGTGGCAGAGCCGGTGCTCCTCACCGCCCTCTCCGCGCCCGCCGCCAACGCCAGCAACGGGGCCGGGGCAGCCGCAGCGCCGGGGGTCGTGGTGGTCATGCTGGAGCCAGGGCGGCGGCTGGTGACCTACGCCTGCGATGACGCCGTGCCTCGCGTCGCCGCCCGCGCGGCCTGAATGTCGGGCCATGCCGATTGCGGCCCTCCTGATCCTGTTCCCTCCGCACCATCTCTTCTCACTATTGCTGCACACACGCTGCACCCTGTCTCCGACAAGCACCCCCCATGTCCCACTTGTGCATTTTTGTCTCGCGCGTGCATTGTACATTATCGACCGTACGAGATCTATTGGACAGGGGCACCTAGCGTGCCTGCAGTGGTGCTGCAGTACTGGGGCAAAGAGGAGCGGAGGCCGCATCAATGGAGGCGGCGCTCCAGATTGGGATCGGAGGTGGTTGGGTAGGGTGGCGGGTTGGTACAGCAGCTGGCCCTGGCCAAACTCAGTACCTCGTCCCTAGTTGCCGCCGGCTGGCATCGTGTAGTCATACTCTATGGTGGGCACCACGCTCGCGATGAACTTGAGGAACAGGATGAGGTAGCTGCGATGCATGCGGGGAGGGGGGGGTTGTGGGTGGGAAATCTGGTGTTCAATGCCCAGGGCAAGCCCAGTGAGGCAGAGTGCGTGCAGGTGGATTCCAATGAGCAGCAGTTGTTGCTGCGCACCAGTGCCGGCACCGACGGAGCATGCCAGCACATCTCACGCCCCCCTTGGATACTTTCCAAGATCCCTGGACCCAGCTTCCACACACCACCTCCTCCAGTCCGACGCACTGTTCTACTCGGAACTCTGCCCGGCCCTCCGTCACGACGCCCGCCAGCTTCCGCATGACATTGGCGTGGCGGCAGGGGTGGATGGAGGCCGCCTGCACCCCGGCCACGCCATGAGGGTGCGGCTCCACCGTGACCGTCTTGCGCGCGTGCTCCGCCGAGATGTCCTCCAGCACCTGGGCGGGGGAGCAAGGGGTCAGGAGGGTTGGGATATAGTGGGGTGTACTACAGCAGGATCGTTTGATGACGACAGTACAGCAGGTCGCTGCCACACGCAGCGGGCAGCCAAACCGCAGCGTGGCAGCAGGCTTGCTCCAGGCCCCCCCTGCCTCTGAGCTGCCGGTCGGGCTTGCCAGCCATCGTCTGTCCCCGCCTCCGTTTCACACTCTCACACACCGGTCACCTGATCGGGGGCCAGGGGCTGCCGGCGCTCGTCGTAGCCAATGAGCCAGAAGCGCGGCACCTGGTAATACTTGTCGTAAGTGATGACGAGGTCGTAGGTGCGGGTGCGCCGCACGCCATCCCCCGCCTCGTTCGCGCCCGGCTGCACGGCGGCGTCCGGACCCTTGCCCTGCAACGGTACGGGCCGGCGGGGCAGGTGAGCGGGAAAGGAAGCTCATGTGTCGGGGTGACGGAGGCCATACATTCAGGCCGCCAGCCCTGTCCCATGCTCCAAATCACGCCCGAGGGCCAGCCAGCCCATGACAGCAGGCAGCACAGCGTGCACAGCGTGACGTACCGCCTCCACCGTGCCGACATCCTCGCTGTCATCTAGGTCGGCGAGGTCGGGGATGGCATCGTCGTCCTCCTCCTCAAGGCGTGCAGCGGCGCGGCTGGCCCCCGCCCCGTCCCCAAGGGTGAGGTCCTTGAGTGGGTCTGCAGGGGCAAGGGAGAGGGCACGGAGGAGGTGCTTGGCCAGGCAGCACGGGCTTCTAGTGTGGGCTTGACAGCCCAGCTCCAGGGCGAGAAGATCCACAGGCCTGCCTCGAGGGCTCCCAGCCTTGCACGAATGCTTGAAATCACTGGCCCAGCTCACAAACGTGGCATCAGGTGGGCATCTGACATCCCGCCCCTCCGCCCGCCACCCCACTACATGCGGCATTGCCGCCTCACCGCTGATGCTGGGGATCTCCTCAAACCCCTCCTCGTTCGTGGAAGAGAGGGGGGCGCTGGGCCTCGAGCTGGCAGTCACCCAGCCATCCCCGCCGCTCGCGCTTTCCTCCACCTCAAACTCATCCCGCTCGCCATACTCCTCCACGTCTGCGGCCCTCCTCAGGCAGGGTACTGCAGAACAGGGGGAGATGGAGGGCAGAGAGGCATCTTCTCCTTGCATCGAGCAGCATGCTAAACAAGGTGTGAGGCAGAGGCGCCCAATCACTAAACGGCCACCCACCATTCCTGGTTATGAGGTACTGTTTGTCGTCTGGAAGGAAGGGTCTTGCCTTCCGTGCATCACCCGCTTCCCTGCGAGAAAATAAGCGACGGAGCTGTGTCCTGAGAGGGCATGACCTGATGGTCAGACAAGGGTGGCAGGAACATTGGTGACAGGGGCTACCTCAGAGCATCCATCTGTGTACCCCACCTCACCAGGACCATGTCGGGCACGAGTGCACCAGGTAGTCTCCCGCGGTCACAAATTCTTGCGGGGTCAGGACCTAGGTCACAATAGGGATGTGCGGGTGGGCACATCGCGCGGTTGGGGTACACGGGACGATATTAGGGACACACACGCAGGGCTTGAAACCCCTGGAGCTGACCATGGATGATCAAAATCCACTGCAAGGCGTGCTGGGCTGGGCGGCGAAATCTCATTGACTCACCCCTTTCTCCTTGAAAGCCGACTGTGACAGTGTTGGGAGGACCTTCTCCGCCGCGGTCTTGTACGTGGAGTGGATCAGTTGCCGAAGACCCGACATTCTGGCGGAGACCTCGGGCCCCTGCCCACGGTGTGAGTGCGAACTATGAGTGCACGAAGGTTTCGGTGATAGGTTGTGGGACGTGTTCCTGCTGCGGACTTTCAAGGCTTTCCGCTGAGCTGACTCGGGGCGCTGTATATTCTGGCGGACCTCAGATTCCGTTTGTTCTAGGCCACAACAAACTGATACAGGCATGCCTGGCAACCAGCTCCACAGTGTACAATGTTCACAAGACAACAGGAAACCTTTCATAAAAGGGCCACCGTCTCCTTCTCGTCCCTGAGGCCCTGTCCTGCTCCGGCTGGTCCCTCCCGCCGCTGCACGCTGCACCTCAGCCCATGCGCGGTGTGAATGGTGGCGCCCGATGCAAGGCCTGGGTCAGCGGCCAGGGAGAAGCTGTACCGCCGCAGCGTCATGGCCAGGGCCACGGTTGCCTCCAGCATCGCAAACTGGTCCCCCACGCACTTGCGGGCGCCGCCACCTGAGTTGTTGGCGGAGAAGGGGTGGAGGGGGTGGGTGGCGGGACCAGATGCAGGGATGGCAGTACATGAAACTAGACAGGGACACTCTTCCACCCCGACGTCTGGGTAGCGCCACGCCACCCCTGTCCCAGCTGTCTAGCCAACGGCTTTGTCGTTGCTGCAAATCCCCTTTGCCAGTTCCATGACACCCAGTCCAGAGTGCATTTCCCCTGAAACGACCGCGCACCAAAGGGGATGAAGGCAAAGTCGGACGCCACCTCGTTGGGGTACAGGGCGGAGGCTGCCTGAAGGGGGGCGTAGCCCGCCCACTTCTCCGGGATGGGGCTTGCACGCTTGGCGCTCCAGCGCTCGGGCTTGAAGTCCTCGGGGTCGTCCCAGAGGTGGGGGGAGCGGTGCAGATTCCAGGTGGAGATGAAAAGGTCGGCGCCCTTGCCGATAGGGTAGCCGGCTGCGTCGCCATACAGGCCGCCCGGCAGGACATCAGGGGCCAGGGCTCTGCGAGGGATGACGGGGCTGGGGTCATACTCCTTCGTCTCCCGTCACGCTGTCAGATGGGAATTCCTTGCACTCTCTGTGCCAACATGTATGGACACGTAGGGTGCACTCTGCAGCCCCCGAGCCCAGCAGCCAATCTCATTACCTCCTGATGAGAATCGGCGGCTGGGGGTAGAGCCGCAAGGACTCTGCCAGCGCTGCTCGTGTTTTGGGGAGACGCCCGATGTCGTCCAGGTCTGCAAGATGGATGGGTGGGTTGGTGAGGTGTGTACTTCTAGAATCACAAAGTGAGGCAGCCACTCTCCCAGCTCGCTGCCAGGAGCATGGGCAGGAGAACCACACTGCTCGTTTAAAGACCCCATGCCTGACTTCACGCCACTCGCACAGTTGACCTTCATGTCAACTTGCCTGGGTGGCTGTCCCCCAGCGCGGCATCCACCTCGGCCTGGATCTCAGCCATGTGTGAGGGGCTCTTTGTCAGGCAGTACAGCGTCCAAGTCAGCACAGCCGCAGTGGTCTCGTGGCCCGCAATCAGCATGGTCATCAGGTCGTCCCTCAGCTGGCGAGCACCCAGGTCAGCATCCCCCGCATCCACAAGGAAGCGCAGCAGGCTGGCATCCTTGACCTGGGCGGTGGGTGCAGGATGGGACGCCATGCAGCTGCACTGGCATTGGATTAACGTCGAGGAGCCTCGGCAACCCTGTCGCGCATGTGGCCCCCTTGCACGCTTGACACTGGAGCATTCCCAAATCAGGCGATGGCGCTCCATGCCCTGCACGACACGCACAACAGAACACCTTGCTGTAGTCCCGCTGCTGCAGCGCTTCGATCTCTTCGGGCTCGCTGATCCTGCGGGCCTGCTCAATGAGCTCATCCAGACACTCATTCAGTACCTGGATGTCTGCGCGGCGGGGGGGGGGGGGGGTCAGAGCAACGTGGGGGCATCTTGCGGATGTGGAGGCGACTTGGATCGCTCTTGGGATACGCACCAATCCCATCTCAACAAAGGAGGCCCCCCCAATCCCCTCTGCGTACCTCTCTGAAATCTCCGCTGGCGGGGCACGACCAGGGACGCCAGGGGCAAGTCCCAGTACGGCAAATAAAATGTGCTGCGATGCTCTGCCTCCTTCAAGACACTGTAAACAGCCTGCAGCGGAGCATGTATGCACAGGCTTAGTGTCATGGGACTTTTCCTATGCAAAATGAGATCTGAACTGGGCGTTCTTTTGAACCTTGCTGCGCTGTTCTTCCTCCCAAGTCAAGACCGCATGCTTCCCTGACTTGTGCATGCACATCAATCCTGCCAAGATTCAAGCTCCCTCACCTTGATGACAGGTGACTCGCGGGTGATGCTCCCAAATTCGTAGTTGAAGACTCCCAACCCAATGATGTCAAGGCCCAGGTTCAGAAACTCAGTCTCCATGTCCACCATGTCGTCGCTATTTGCCTATAGAAGAAGAAACCAGGGCGTTTGTGGGAAGAGTGTCAAACACATGGGAACCCCCTGTGCAATGTGCTCGTATGCGATGCACATGGTAGCACCCCCACCGCCAGCACACCGAAGCAGTGTGGGCATCCAGCTTGCCGATCATACGCTCCGTGCAGCGTCCAAACATGGCCATGGAAGCGTTGAGGTACGCCTTGTGAAAGCCTTGCGGGTTGTGGGGGCAGATAGGGGGAGCAGGTGTGCTCAGATGAATCAGACCCGGATTACAAGACTCCAAAACTCCGCATCAAGAGGCGCTTTGCGCCCGAACATGTCGAGTCACCCCACCCAAACCACTCCCAAGCCTTGCCGGGCATCGGCTCACCCGGAACGATCTTCTTGCGCCTCACTTTCCATGTGTCCCAGTCAGCTGGTATGAGGCCCTTGCCCATGAACGGTTCCAGGATGTCTGCCAGCACTCCCTTGTCATAGTTGTATGCATTCTCCTGATGAGGTTTGATGGGGGTGCATAGAATGTTTCAAGCTGCTGCGCTTGCCCGCGCCAACCCCTGCCCACCTCCAACAGCAATCACAGCAGTGCATACATGTCCAATCCGCACTTCCCAGCGAGGCAGCACAGGCATGCAGAGGCTCAGCCGCAGCACGCCATTGTTGCTGGCTTTAAGTGCCTCAAACTCGTCCATGTACCTTTAGCAGGTGGCGTACGACCACAGGGTCTGACACGACAATGAAGGCTTTGGGTCCGAACTCCAGCTTGAAGACTCCTCCACACTCTTGAAACCTGGAGGAGAGTTGAAGGCTCGGGTCAGCCTCATGCATGCTGGGCATTATGGTCACCACTGTGAGCATGCTCGCCCAAGCCCAGAACCCTCAATAACACCATGCCACACCATTTGAACAGTGCTTTGAAGAGAGGCTCGTCTCCCGCAAGATCTGAGAGGTTGCCCTGCGCTGCCGGGATGGTGTCGCCCCCGACCTGGGGTTGAAAGTACCCCTGGCTGACTTGGGTGAGCACATGGCTCAAGCCGTCCTTGATATTTCCCCCGCCCCTCACGGCCGCATACGCCAAAATGCCTGCTCCAGGACTGAAAAATATGGCCCAAGGAAGGAGCTGGGAGGCTAGGCCGGCCGTACACGAAACCTGACGTCGCCGGTTGATGGGTGCGGCCTTGAGCAGTCTCGCCTCTTTTCTTGTATGGGAGCCAGGGTGCACCAGGAGACAGCCTGGCCTGCCATGGAGGAATCTGGAATTCATGACGAGTTTACGTCCCCATGGCGAGCGAGAGACGATGCCTTTAGCTTGAGGGATCTGTCGCGCTCATGCATGGATCGGTGGTGCCGGATCAGCCGAGCGCCGGCTCATTCATTTCCCAGGATTATTCAAGGGGTGCCGTTCCTCTGTGCCGATACGTCGACATTAATCCATACACTCTCACCATGCAACCACACCGATACCCAAATATGCTGTGGCTGTGGAGAGCGCGATAAACTTTCGCTGAAAACAATGTAGATTCATTGGAGACAAAAGGCAATCTTCTACTGTGCTTCGTCCTGGACCCTCAGAGATACTATCGGATATCTAAGCAGTCTCAGCCGTAGTTTGTCGAGGACTTCGACCATGACTAGCCCTTCAATATGCACTGTAGCCTGTAGGAGGTGTCAGCATTGGGGGATGACTGATGAAACTCCATTGCCATGTATCAAGGTGGTATTACCAGTGCACTACGAGAGAAGTGTCGGCAATAAGCCCCATAGGACCTCTACGCTCTACGTGGAACTACAGCCCCACACACCTCTGCCCTGTGAGGTTCGGCTCAGAAAGCTACCGGAGCAATCAAATGCCTGAACCGGGATCCTGCTTGAGCATCAAACCATACCCAACGGTCTTGATTGTCACATGCATGACTTTCAGCACATATTAGGTGATTATGGCTGAGGTTTTCCACGACTAAGCTGCATGGTCCACAATGCTGTCTCTTCCAGCTACGCACAAGTCATGTCAGGGTCAAGCCTGGTGGCGGTGCCACAACTACCACTTGCTTGACACCACAAATCTCAGCTCTGGTCGCCATCATGAGATCCAGCCTTGTTGGCAGTGGGTTGAAGATCCCGCGTATGTAGCAAGGAATATCTGATAGAGGTAGTGCGTTTAGTGCGAGATGTGCGGCACAGAGTGCCCGACGTCGTCCACATGAAACAGCGCTCGCGGGGGGGAGATAATTGGCAAGATCACAGCCGAGCGGACACACGGGAGTGACGAGCAGTGCTTCGAGGTATGATTCTTACAACGTTCAACATTACATTCTCGACGATACAGCCATTCTCGTCGCCATGAGCCTGGCGATGACAAACGTTGGACGGGCCATGCCCGGTCCTTCGACCACACCGCGATTGAGGCATGCCGGGCTCAATGTCGCCTCCAGACCTCACCCGGCCTTCCGCAGGTCCATGCCAGCCAGATCCCGTCATGTGGTGCGCGGCATGTTCATCCAGTGGTGAGTGGCGGGGACCAGGACGGGAGGGGTGTCGAGGCTGCATGAGCTTGCACATTGGACCGCAGCATTCAGCTCTTGACCGGGACACACAATGGGCCCCTTCGCCCTCTACCACTGATGCAGGGAGGGCCTGATCCAGAGTCTGAGGGACCAGGGCATCGACTCCCTGCCTCCCCGGGAGGCTGAGCAGGCCGTGAAGTCAGGGAAGGCCGTCCTCGTGGATGTTCGCCCCGCCAAGTTCCATGAGCAGGCCCACATCCCGGGGTCCAAGAACGTGCCCCTGTTCGAGTACCTCACGCTGTCCAACCTCAACGGCGTGGGCTCCGTCCTCAAATTCATCGCCATGAAGGCCAATGGCGTGCAGCCCACAGTGTTCAACCCCGAGTTCCTGCAAGGCATCAAGGCCGCTGCGGGGGAGGACACGACCCTGATCCTGTACTGCGAGGCCGGTGGGACGATGGAGGCCTCCACCTCCTTTCCCTACGGCAAGGACTCCCGCTCCCTGAAGGCCATTTGGAAGGTGTGTGTGTGGGGGGGTGGGGTGGGGGGGGGGGGGGTGCGTAGGAGTGCAGGGTGAAAGCCCAATCACAGTCCCCGCCTTTCTGGTCCGGGTTGGAGCCCTCCATCCTGAGGCTCTCGAGATCAAGAATTGGACCCTGCCTGTGGCGCTTGCCCACCCATCAGGCCCAGATTCAAGCGCAGCATCGACTGATACCACCTCGCAGGTGACCAACGACAGCGTCCTGCCCTCGCAGCGGGTGCAGCACCTGGCGGGCGGGCTCTACGGCTGGTGGAGGGACGGGCGGGATGTGGAGGGCGAGTACACCGGCGCTGAGGCTGGCCGGACCCCTAATGCTGTGGGTGAGACGAGGGGGAGGGTGAGAGGCGGGCGAGTGGGTCGTGCTTGCCTAGGGCATGACCCAGCCCCAAATGGTGTAGCTATGCCTCTCAATCAGAGGCCCGGCAGATCTTCCTCGGTCCATTGTCGTTTGCCATGTTGGGTCAGCACAAAGATTCTCCCTGACCCCTCCCACCCACATCTACTGCAGCGTCCAGTGCAGGAGTCGGGGCCGCAGATTCAGAGAAGCCTCTGGACACGCGGGAGGCAGATGAGTGAGGCCAGCATATGGGACTGGCCTGATCACCATGTTTCGGCTCTGCTGTCTTGACGTCGCCCTTTTGATATATGCCGTCTTCTGTGTGTGTGATATCCTTGGTGCCAGAGATCTTCTGGATGCTGCGCAAGCAACAAGGGCAGGGCACATCTGCATGCAGTCTAATGTACAGATCCAATGGGTCAGCACTTCACACCCGGCTGCACCCGACATTCAACGAGGCATCACCATGTGCCGCGGATTCTCCCTCTGCGTCAGCGCATCACAATGCATGCGTCAGGGCCACGCTTTCTTCCGGCGGGCACACATCGGTCATGAGCTCCGCGAAGCCGGTGTACAGGCCCGCCGCAAAGTCCCTGACCACCTCCAGCGGGATCCAGTCGTCCTGCCCCGCCTCCGCCAGCTCCATCAGCCGCTTGTCCTCCCCCACCCGCTGCAACAGGTCCACAAAGGACTGCAGCGAGGTCTCCTGGTGCGACTGCAGCGTGCGGTGGGTGTAAATATGTTGATGGGCATGTCCTTGTGTGGGTTTTGGTGTGCTTGTGGTTTGAACAGCAGAGGGCGGGGTGACAAGGCGAGGCGAGGCCTTAGATTGCTGGACCTGGCCCAGCACAAATGTGCAGCGCCAATTCAAGGGGCGAAGCGGGTGAGGAGGGACGGCGCGGTGCTGTGGTTGCAGGCGCGGCGCCGGCTCGCTGTTTGCGTCGGCAGACCGGCACGCAGGGCCAAGATGAACCCCTCTCCCCCCAATGCATCTCCTCCTCACCTGGAGCTGGAGCAAGCCATGCAGTGCCTCGATGGCATGCAGACTCACATACTGGGCCGCTCCGTGCCTCCAGAAACGTTTCCTTTCGCTGCTGGCCTCCAGCGTCAGGTTTGAGACCCTGCCAGGTGGGGTGGAGGTGGAGGAGAGATGGGTTGGCCCTGCCTGGCGAAGCCAGGTGCCTCACAGCCCTGGACCCACAATCGCTCAGAAACAGAGCCCAAGGTACCCCCTCCACTCACCACTGCGTGAAGCGTTTCTGGCCCCCAGGTGACTGCGTGAGGTCCATCCACATGCGCAGGCAGCAATACCCCAGCAGCTGTGCCTCCAGCTCATAATGGTGGAACTGGGAGCTCTTCTCCCGGCACAAGGCAGCAAAGTGGGCCAACTTCTCCAAGCTGAACTTGCCGCTCCGATTGCTGGACGCGGAGTGGCAAGGGGTGGCAGGAAGGATCATGCCTTGCTTGCATGAGACTGGAGGGTGGTCTTGCATCTCCTCCTCGAGTGGGTGAACCCCCCTTCCCCAGACCTGCAGCTCCAACCCCGCGAAGGAGTGCCCACACAGACACCCTGGGCACCCCCCCAAGACCAACCTGTCAAGTACCCACAGCACGCTCAGATGGCTGAGGGATATAGGGAGACCGGCATCATAGCATCGGAGGCGGAGGAGATCTGGGAGGACCAGGTTTCCGCGACCTTTTCCGACGAGGCGCAAGAACTCGGCCTGCAACAGTCGCGAAGGCTTGGCAGGCATCGAGAGGGCAGGATGGCATGACTCAATGCCTCCAGTCAGGCCGACTTCAGAGCTAATGCTTGCTCAAGGGTGATCGAACCACACCACGTCGCCCCGTCTGCGAGTCGAAGTTTGAAGATGTAGTACCCCACGAATATGGACGCAGTCCATCCCACCCAGATCTGCATGCACGGATGCGAGAGATGAAGTCTGACCCTCTGCCATTTCGTCAAGAAGAGTGGAATACCCAAAGGGTGACCGCTGCACAATGAGCGATGCCGAGGAGGTCGCGCACGATGGTGGTGCAGCTCCTCCCCTGCCCGACGCTCAGGCACCTCCGAGTGACGAGCACCCTCCTGCTCCCGGTGATGCCGTAGATGGTGTCTCCCCAGGAAATGGGGCGTCGCCGCCCCCCCTTCCCTCCACCGGTCCTAGCGACCCGTTGTCCCCCAAGGACGATGGGAAGCAGGTGGAGCGCGGCCGCTCCTCATCACACGACAGGCACAAGTCCCGTCGCCAGAGCAGCAGAGACAAGAGCAGGGAGCGGCGGCGTCGGTCCCGCAGTCGCGACAAGGACAGGAGGAGGAGGAGCAGGAGCCGGGAGGCCCGGCGTCGGAGCCAGAGCCGGGATCGTGATCGTCGCAGGCGCAGGTGTGTGTAGGGCGTCCAGGTCGATGCCTGCTCTCACTGAATTGCCTGGAGTCCATGCCTGACCGGGGCCATGTGCCGAGGAGGGGCTGGAGTGCCCCTGCCGGCTGGGTGATTCCACAACCCTGGGCGACCTACAAAAGCTGCCTCTCATGTCCCTTCCCTTGCCCCCCCCTTTTTCCCTTCCCCCTACCCTTGCCCCTTGCCCCTCTTCCCCCGCCCCCCTCTCATCCCACAGCCACGTGACTGCAGGTCGACCTCGCGCTCCCGGCGCCACAGCCGGTCGCCGCGGCGCCACTCCCGCTCGCGCCGCCGCCGCTCACCGTCCGTGGTCATCACGCGCGCGCCCATCTACGAGGTGGAGCGCGTGGCGCCGCCCTCCCTGGCGGCCCTGCCCGCCCTCAACCCCCTGGCCCTGCCCATGGCCGGCAACATGCCGCTGGCCACCGACCCCTACAAGCTGATCCCCAACCTGGGCATGCCCGCGGCACCCCCGCCCCCCGCCACCAACCAGGCCACTCGGCCCCAGCGCCGGCTGTACGTGGGCGGCCTGCCCACGCCCTGCTACGACTTCCAGCTCACCGCCTTCCTGAACCAGGCGCTGGTGGCCTCGGGCATCTGCTCTCCGCCCCCGGGCCGCATGCCCATCATTGGCTGCCAGCTGACGCAGGAGAAGGGCTTCGCCTTCATCGAGTTTGCGGAGATTGCGGACTGCACCGCGGCCGTGCAGCTGGACGGCATCCCCTACATGGGCTCCGTGCTCAAGATCAAGAGGCCCAAGGAGTACCTGGCGTGAGTTTGCTGGTTGTTTGGGGGGAGGGGTAGTTGCGGGATCAGGACAGGAGCGGTAAGGGCAGCGAGGGGTGCTGCTCTCAGCGTGGCAAGGCCTCCGCGCCTGGCCGAGTGCCATGTCCAAGGGCATGAGGCGGCCACACGCAGCCAGTGCATGGCTGCTGGGCAGCCGCACTCGTGTGCGTCCAGGTTGGGGGTTCTGGTGTCAGGCAAGCATGCCAATGGAAGCATACTTCACAGGGTGGGGCTCCCCCCAAACTAACCCCATGATCCGATCTCTCGTGACTCCACCCCACCATCCTCCCATCTACGGCAGGTTGCCTTACACAACCCCGGACCCCCCGGCGATGGGGGCAGCGGTGCTCGCCAACTTCCTGGCCCAGAGCCAGGCGCTCGCGGGGGGCGCTGCCCCAGCTGCAGCTGCCCCTCTGCCGACACAGCCCCCCCCTCCCCAACCCACCGCTGGCAATATCTGGCCCTGATCTGGGAAAATCACGCTGGCCAGTCTGGAGCGAGGGAGAGGCGGGCTGGAGTCGCACCTTGCACGCTGGAGCGCGATGGCGAAGTGTGGGAGGCGCGGGAAATTTCGGGAGCTGTCCCCTTACGAACCACGTCGAGATCCCGGCAGCAATCGTCCAGCCCCCTCCTCCTGAGTGTAAGCACTGACACAAGACACTTTACTCAAACAATTCAGGGGGCAAGCGTGCGCCCAGGGCTCGACTCGAAGCCTGGGGCCTGCCTTCCGGTGTGCTCGCCGGGGGGGTGGACCAGCATGGTTACATCTCCCGGCCCCGGCGCCTCATTGTCCGGCACGGTGACCGAGGCGGCCAAGGACGCTGGTGCCTGGCTGAGGGACTACGTGACGGCCATCAAGAATGGGAGGTGGGTGCCCGCCTCGCGCAACCTGTCCCTACGCGTCGGGGGGGGTTGGCTCGTCGGGCCCCTGACCAGCTCACTCACTCCCTCGCACCCCTCCATCAGGTGGCACCCCTTCAATGCCACGGAGAGGGCGGCTAGAGCAGCTACTCGCAATGAGCCATGGGGCCCCACAGGCACCCAGATGACGGGTCTGGCCCGGCTCTCACACAACAGTGCCACCGACGAGGCCATCATCCTGGCAGTGCTGGAGCTGCGCCTCCGGTACCCCGCCGAACGATGGAGGAATGTGTACAAGGTACATGCCCAGGGATGATCACTCTGCGTGGCCATCAGATGCCTGTTGCGGTGGACCCTTCTGTATGCGGACGGACGGGGCGACAGCTTTGACCTTCCATGCCTTCAGAGTGTTCAACCCCCTGACACCCCGTGGGGCATGGCACGGACTGCTGGGTCCCTGCCGCATCATCTCGGACCCTCTCGCCACCCGCGCAGGCCCTGACCGTGCTGGAGTACCTGCTGCGACACGGCTCCCAGGGCTGCGTGGTGTCTGGGCGCGAGTACCTCATGCCCATGCTGAAAGTCCTGTCCACCGGCTTCATGTATGTGGATGCCGCGGGCAAGGACCAGGGGGCCAACATCAGGCACAGGTTCGTGGGGGGGTGGGCGGGTGTGGTGTCGCCGATGGTTGCTATGTGTCATCTGACTGGACCTGCGCGAGTGACAGATGTCCAGTCACTCCGGCCCCTGCCCCCCTGCCCCGGCCAGCCTGGGGCAGGGGTTCTCCTTGTACCAAAGTCCCTGAACACCAGACAACGCAGCGGCATCCCAACCCACTCGCCCCAGGTCTGCCGTGATCGTGGCCCTGCTGGAAGACCCAGAGCGCCTGGCCCAGGAGCGCCAGGCGGCCGAGAAGAAAGCGCGGGAGGGCGGGTACCGCGGCTACTCGGCGGCCGAGGCGCGCGCCGGGGCGGGCACCCCCCGGCCTGCCCCCCCAAGCTGGGACGGTCCGGCGTCGCCCGGGCGCGAGGGGGTGGAAGGCGGTGCCGGCGAGGCCACCCCCGGATACCCCGCTCCGGCCTCCTCCACCCCACCGCCCAGTGTCGCGCGGGCGGGGGAGACCAAGGGCGTGAGCATGGAGGCCAACGTGGCCAACCTGGAGGCCCTGCGCGCGTTGCTGGCCCGGCCCGAGAACGCGCGGTGCGGCGACTGCGGCGCCGGCGGCGCGCGCCCCTCCTGGGCCTCCATCAACACGGGCGTCTTCCTGTGCATGCGCTGCGCAGGCGTGCACCGCGGCCTTGGGGTCCACGTCTCCCAGGTCCGGTCCTGCACGCTGGACACATGGCTGGCGCCGCAGGTGGTCTTCATGGCCGCCACGGGCAACGCCGTGGCCAACGCCTATTGGGAGGCGCGGCTGGCGGACCGGCCGCCCTGCCACTCGCTCACCGACCTGGAGGCCTTTGTGCGGCGCAAGTATGCCAGAAAGGAGTGGGCGGAGGGGGAGTGGCCGCCCGCCGCGGCGGGGGCCGGTGGGAGTGCAGACGGGGGAGGGGAAAGGGTGGACGGCGGCGAGCGGGCGGCGGGGCCCGCCTCCGGCGGGCGCGCGCCCACGAAGATCGGCGCCCTGCCTGGGCCGAGCCCGCGGCCTGGCACGGCGCCGCGACAGGGTGTGCCTCCGCAAGACCTCGCCCCCGCCGCCCCGCCGCCCGCCGCCGTCGTCGACCTGATGGACTTTAGCGTGGAACCGGAGCCGCTCGGCGCCGCGACAACCAGCGGCGGGGCCGATTTGTCGAGCGCCGACCCCCTGGCCGCCCTGAGGCAGCTGGACTTCAGCGCTCTACCCACGACCAGCAGCGGCACCACGCCTCCACCCAGCGCCTTTGCCGCCCCCTTCCCGGGCCACACCCCTGCGCCGGCGCCAGACCTGTTTGACCAGCTGGCCAGCGGCGGCAAGTCGGGCCGCCTGGGCGGGGTGGCGGGGGCGACGTCCTGGGACTTCAGCTCGGCCCAGGGTCTGACGCGCCCGCCGCCCGAGCAGCGCCAGCCCGAGGGCCAATTGAGCTCAATGAGGGCTGGGGCTCTGAACGGAAGCCCCGCCCCTCAAGTGAACGGCGCATCTCCTGCGGCACGCCGACAGCAGGACGCCGACGGCTCCGTGCCGGCGCAGCAGCCCACACCCGCGCCCGGCGGGCAGGCTCGGCGGCCGCGGCTGGAGCTGCCGCAGGCGGGCTGCTCGCCAGCGCCCAAGCCCGCACGTGACGCCCGGATCGAGGCGATGCTGCAGTCTGGGCTGGACGACTTCCTGCTGGCTTCCGCGAGGGTGGCGGCCCAGCCGTGTGCGGCGCTGACGCCGGGGGGCAGGGCCGACCCGTCCCCGGCCATGAGGGCCCCGCGCACGCAGTGGCAGTGAGGGTTTTTTGACCCAGGCACAGGATTCGTGATTGTAAAAACCGCCCAGGCTGCGCTGTGCATGAGAGTCTGGGGTGCCGGCCTGGTTGGATGAGAGAGGACAAGTTCCGTGCATGATTGATGAAGGCAAAGATGGACAGGGGAAAGACGTGAGTAACGCATTTGGTGAGGATTGGGTTCTCTGCCGTGTCGACCATCTATTCCAGTCACAGGCACTCCGGGAGATCTCCCTGTCGGAACCCCCATCTCGACTTTGAACCGAGACGAAAGCCGTGCAACCGGAGTACACTCTACAGACGGGAGGGCACATCACCGCATGCGGGATGAGTTGAGAAGATTTAATAGTTCACAATTCCCTAATTCTTGCGTTGGGATAAAATCCATCGTGCTTCTTCGGAACCCTGGTGGGTCTTCTTGAGTGGGACGTCGCCTGCTCCCGACGGGAGCAAGGGTATGCGATCCCAATCCCTCTTATTTCTTTGCCCTTCACTCCTGTGCAGACCTGAGCACGCTTCCCAGCACATCATTGCTGATCCCGGGGACAGAATTTTGCTTCCCTGTACTCATCAGTACTAGTAAAAGTGGCACACTGACAGGTCTCCAGGCCTTGCCCCCTGGGTGACGATGACGTCCAGGAGTGGCCACAGCATGGAGCCGGCAGGGGAGCCTGCGGCAGGAGTCGTCGTGGGCTGCCTCATGCGAGCCAGCCGCCTGCAGGCCTTCCAGGCACGGGGCATCTTGCCAGGCGTGGCCACCGCCGTTCCCGGCCGCGCTGCCACCCTGCAGTGCCTGGCGTTTGACCCCTGCCAGGACCCCTGCCTGCAGCCCCCCGTGCACGTCTTGCTGCACAAGCTCAGCGATTTCGACGGAGTGAAGGAGGGGCCCGGTCATGCCTGGGTGCGGGCCTACCTGCGCCGCCATCCGGGGACCAAGATTGTCGACCCAGTAGAGACCCTGGGTCCGGCACTAGACCGTGAGGCCATGGCCCATGCTGCCGAGCGTGCCAGCGCTCTATCTGACGGGCTGCGCATGCTGCGCTGGGCGTCCTTGGAGGGGCCAGCAGACGATGACGGCGGCGACCCGGGCTTCTTCCCATGTGTAGTGAAACCACGTGTGAGACTGGCTGAGTGGTGAGGGACAGCGTGCTCGTCATCGCATCTGCCTGGGACAGCTGGTCGAAAGCTTGCCTGTTGCAGCACGGCGCTGAACTGTTCTGACTGGAAGTCACTCAGCCTGCTTGCTGCATGGAGACCCTTGCAGGGGCACATGACAGCCTCAAACCCACAACCTGCAACCCCTTCCTTCTGTGCCATCAGGTGGCCTGCGGGGGACCTACCGCGCACGTCATGGCGGTCGTGAGGAGCACGGCTGAGCTGCAGGCTTGCCACGTGCCCTTGCCCCGCGTTGCCCAGGAGTGGGTGGATGGTGGCGGTGCAGTGCTTAAAGTGTATGTGGCAGGGGAGGCCACCTCTTGGAGGCTGCTTGCTGAGGGGGGCCCGCTGCCAGACAGCAAGGAAGGGAGTGCAGGTGCCAGAGGTGGCAAAACTTCTCGGGCTCAACACCCTGGTGCCAGACAAGGACCGGATGCCATTGCCGTAAATGCCGCGTCTGCACTTCGTCGGACGCTGGGCTGGATGCTGTTTGGGGCGGACCTCGTGTGCTGCAGCACGGCAGGTGGGAGAGAGAGTGGGCGAGCTCAGGGCTGATGCCACTCAATCATCCCTGCCTCCTGCTCAGCGCCGCCTCCTCCTGCGCAGGCCTGTGGAGCATCGTGGACATCAACTACTTCCCCTCCTATCTGGGCATTCAGGATGCCGATGGCCTCCTGCACAGCGCCCTGGTGGACTGCGCGGCGTGCAGGGACAGCCTGAATGGATCCAGGGACCGTGCTTGACCCCCCATCCAGATGCATCGCTGTCGTCTGCGCTTTGATATCACTCAGGCATTGCCACCATCACCTCCCTTGTGCCCGCGTCTGCATGCCGGGCCTTTGGCTTGGGGAAATTCGAGCACATGGAATCCGCAACCTATAGCACGGTTCAGGACAGAGGGGTGAGGATCTCGTTCACACTGGAACCTTGCTGGTCGACTCCTCTCCCAGCCCCCAGCCAGCAGCTCAGCTGAACATGGAAGCGGCAGCAGAGGAGCGGTAGATGCCATCGCATGCGCCGCCGATGGCAGTCCTCACCCCCGGCGTTATGCTCCGCCCGGTCCGGCTGCCAATGGCCCGGGCCAGTTCGGTGCAGAGGTGGGTCTCCGGAGCTGGGCCTGGCTGCACGCCCACCAGGCAGCAGACGTGCAGCCCCTGCAGCGCCCCGCGCGTCAGCACCGCGGCAGACAGGCCCTGGAGGAGCATGCCCGGGGGGAGCGGGGGCCAGGCCGGTGAGTATGCTGCGGGCACCCCTGCACCCTGGTCGGCCGCCGTGCTCAGAGCGAACACCAGGGGCGACCCCGCGGCGTCCCCGGCATGGCCCCTCAGATCGCGCAGGGGACACGTGCTCGCGACGTGCACGCTGCACCCTGCGCGGCACAGCGTGCGCAGCAGGGAGCGCGCCAGGGTGCCGGCCTGCTCCTCTGGGAGGGGGGCCGGCACGGAGGCGAGGGTCGTGGTCCTTGTTGCCGGGAGGGACCACAGGAACACTCTGATCACCTTGGCTCCTGGCCCTGTCCCTGCTAGGGTATGCGGCCCTGCGTCTCCATCACCTTGCTGGGCAGCTGCCTTGGTGGTGTGCGGCATGGGCTGGCAGCTGGGCACGGTGCAACTGCCGAGGGGCTGAGCGGAGGCAGGGAGGGGGGAGTCGGTTGAATTTTGGGAACATAGAAGTGAATGCGAGGGGTCCGAGTACTGCAATTCCGAGCAAGGTACCAACAGAGCAATTCTTGCAATTCATTTCGACCATAAATTCAACGAGTGCCCAGAGATCATCTTCCCATCAGATTCTGTTTCAGAGTCCCTCAGCCACCACCCTTCCCACCTGGGCATCTGCATAGAGAGTGGAGGCCAGGACAGCAGCAGAGTCCCCTACCAGTAGGATCTGGGGGCGTGGAGGGACAACATTGGGTTGGGAGGCGGCGATGGAGGGTGTACACTGCATGCAGCTTGCGATCGTTGACTTCATCAAAGCAGCACAAGGCACCCATCGCCCACATACCAGCTCGTCACATTGGACAGGCTCGCCTTCCCACTGCACATCAGATGTGAAGAGACGATGTGAGGTCTGTGCAGTGGTGTTACGGTGATTGCTCCAATCTCCATTTGGAAAGCAGCAAGTGACATGCGTTTGACAGACGTCACGACATATCCCCCTGCTCCTCGACAAGACATTCCCTACCTGGTACTCTGGCTCAACAAAGTAGCGGGACACATGGGGTTCCGCCAGCTTTTCGTCCTCATCGAGGGTTACCCTGGAGGGGAAGTCGCCCGTCAGTGGGTCCTCGAAGATGGCCATACCAGGAACAGGTGATCAAGATTCTATTCGCTTGTAGATGGCGGAGATCACAGGGTAAGTAAAGTTTATTGAGAACAATTCCGACTCTTGCCGGAGTCTTTTGTCGGTGCACTGCTCAGGTGAGCCATGCATGCTTTCGTCACCTCCGCTCGCACCCTGAGGCTCGCCCGCAGGCTTGCTCGTCTTAACCAGGGAGGGCTCCCCATTAACATGGTCTTAAGTATGCGACATGATGCGCTACATCTCTTACACTGGTATTGCAAGCATGATGCATTCACAGCCGATAAAAGGGTTCAATTAGATAACTCCAGAGGTTTCAAAAAGGGGTATGTGAAGGTAAGAGGCTGAGGAGTGTTGACAGACGGGGATACACAACTTCCGCCAAGAGGTGGAAAAGGCCTGATCATGTGGACAACTGCGCATGGCTGCAATGCCAGCCAATTTGCTGTAAGCCGAACACTCTAGTTGATGGCAATTCGGCGGGGCGCAATCTCCTTCTCGTCATGCTTGGGGACCTCAAGGCTGAGCACACCATCCTTGTAGTTCGCCTTGATGGCTGCCAGGTCTGCATTCTTGGGCAGGCGTACAGATCGAGAGACAAAGGAGGTCGAGCGCTCGAATCTGTGAGGGAAGATAATGGCCTTGTGAGCTAGACGTCATCACTGGAGTATTTGATATCCGCAAGCACATGGCATACGTAGGCCCAACGTCTTGAACTGGCAGGGGGGCATACCTGTGGAACTTGGTCTCAGGGTCCTCCTCCTTCTTCTCCTCTGTCTTCTCTACACTCAGTGACAGGGTATCGCCCTCGGTTGTGACCTTGATATCCTCCTTGTTCACTCCAGGGATGTCGGCCTTGATCAAGAACTTGCTCTTGTCCTGTGCGCAGAGCGGTGAGTGCCATTAGCCGAACATCCGGTGCGAAGAGCTCCACGAAACCGCATCCGGACACCATGACATGAAGAGCCTGGAGGCCATCAACCCGCACACGAACGCACCTCCGAGACATCGATGGCCACGCCGCGAGCCAGCTGGGGTCCAGATGTAGTCAGAGCACGGCTGCTGCGCAGGGGGTGGAAGAAGTCGTCCCCGAAGAAGGGGTCCAGGGCGAATGGGATCAGGCTCATGGTGCTGTGAGCGATTGCTCTTGAGAATGCTCGGTTGGGGGGCTTGGCAATGGGAATATCGATCGCTTTTTGGCTTGACAAGAATGTCCGAGTGCGCTCTCCTATATACTCGCTGGGGCCGGGAAGTTCTAGAATGTGTCCGTACATGCTCGACATTTCTAGACACCTCGCCACGTCGCTGCTGACCTGCCGGGGGTCGACAGCCCCCCCCGACGATTCCCCCCCATTGTGATACATCATCCAGCCACTTTCTGCTGATCATGCACAGGTTTACCAATTAATGGCCTCGGCCATGTACCTCAGCGCACCAACCGACTTACTTCCACGTTACATGATCCGAGCATCACAGGCCTGACCGCACATACATCCGCGACTTCATAAAGAGCTGAGGAAAGCAGCGATGGTCGGTCCCACCCTCCATACAGCCCCGGCAAACATCGGCCCATAATATCGTCAAATATTAATAGTAATAGTGGGTTGTAGGGCTGCGAGCGCTGGAGCAGCGGTTTGGGTGCAGGAACTGGCCACACCAGTCAACGGATGGGTACAATAAGAACAGGAAGGGGGTTTGGGGAGGGGAACACACGGACAGTCGCCCACCCCTGGGCACACGCATTGGGCGCTCACGCGTCCCTAGCCCAGCGGCTCAACCAGGCTCTCGGCACTGCGTCGTGACTCACATCACCTACTCAGACTTGTCCGAGGGGTGGGTCAGCTCCTCCTTGAGCTTGCCCAGTGCCATGTCAATCTGCATCTGCACCTTGGCAGCTGTGAGGCCGTTCTCCTCCTTGTCAAAGGCCTCGTTCTTGTAGGCCTGGCCCTTGCCCGTCACCTCATGCGGGTAGGCATGCCCGCCTGGGATGGTTTGGTGGGGGGGAAGACAGCATGGGGTCAGCGGAATGTTGATCAAGGCGCCTGAACGTGCACCTGGGAGAAATCCACCAGAGGCAACATCAATGGGCAACGACCTGGCCCTCCCCCATCGCCTCTCGCACCACCTCCCCGCCGCCCCTCACCGTGGTAGGAGGCGTCCAGTCCGGCGGTCTCGACCTCCGGGGACACCCTGAAGATGCCCAGGCGCTTGAGGATGAAGAAGTAGGGCCCCATGATGCCCAGCACCCATGCGGCGATGCAGATGATGTAGACCAGGTGCGCGCCCAGCAGCTTGCCGCCACCGCCCATGATGAAGCCGTACTCGCGCGTCGTGTCCTCGCCGTAGGGTGAGGCCCCGTAGTAGTCCTCCACCATGCCTAGGTCGGCAAAGGCGGCGCCCGCGATCATGCCCCACACCGCACACCCCGCGTGCACCGCGATGGCATCCAGCGGGTCGTCGATCTTGAGCAGATTCAGGTTGACGCGTGAGGCGATGATGTAGACGCCGCCGGCGAAGAGGCCGATGATGATGGCAGCCCAGGTCTGCACAAAGGCGCAGGGGCCGGTGATGGCCACCAGGCCGCCCAGAGCGCCGTTGCCCGCGATGATCAGGTCCCAGACGATGACGCCGGAGGTGAAGTAGTTGATGGCCATGGTGAGGAAGAGGGTGGACAGGCAGGCCGCGGCGGCGGCCACGGTGGTGTTCACGGCGATGGCGGCGGAGATCTTGGAGTAGCCGACGGCGGAGCCCACGATGGCGTTGGTGGAGCCGGGGTTGAAGCCGTACCAGCCAAACCAGAGGACGAAGACGCCCAGCAGGTTGAGCGAGGCGTTGTGCCCGGGCATGTCGATGGGGTTGCCCGCGGCGTCGAAGCGGCCGAGGCGCGGGCCCAGGATCCAGGCCCCCGCCAGGCTGGCGAAGCCGCCCACCATGTGCACGGGGCCGTCGCCGGCAAAGTCGTAGACGCCGGAGCCGGAGAACAGGAGGTAGCTTCCGGAGACGGTGGCGGTGTTGCGTCCGGCTGACAGCCAGCCAAAGGGAGACCACACCCAGTGGGCGACCTGGCTCGGGAGGGATACGGACATCGTGGAGAGGGATCAAGGGTGGGATGTCATCCCCGCATGCCCCGCTCCCATGCCAGCCCTTGACTCCCACCCAGCCACCCCACGCCCCACGCACCACGGGGTAGACCAGGGAGACGAGCATCATCTCGTACAGGAGGTAGCTCTCGAAGCGGCAGCGCTCGGCCACCGCGCCCGACACGATGGTGGCCCCCGTGGCGGCAAAGGTGAACTGGAAGAACCAGGTGACGTACGAGGTGCGGGGCAGCTGGTTCATGGCGAAGAAGCGGTGGCCGATGAAGGGCGAGTACCAGGCGTAGGTGCCGTCATCGGCGGCGGTGGGGTCGCCAAAGGCAAAGGCGAAGCCGGTGATGTACCAACACATGGAGCCCAGGCAGGCGTCCAGCAGGTTTAGCAGGATGATGTTCTTGGCGTTCTTGGCACGCACCGCGCCCGCACAGAGCATGGCGAAACCGGCTTGCATGAAGAAGACCTGGGGTGGGAGGCGGGGGAGGGTCTGGGAGTGAGCGGCTGCGTCGACGGGCGTGGGAAGGGGGGTCTCGCCAAACCCTGGCAGGGCCGCATGCACCCGGCACAGCTTCCCGGACTTCGAACCACAAAGTTGCCGGCACGGGTACTTCATGACATCTGAAACGATAAATTGGCCACATGCGATGGGTATGAGCCCCCCTGCCTACCAGGTAGCCACTCTGCAGTGTCCATCCGGCGTTGATGTCCGTGTACCCGGGGATGGCCCCGATGGTCAGGTCGGCCAGCTCCTGCTGGATCGTGTTATTGAGCGTCGCCAGGTTCTGGGCAACCTCGCCGAGACTGTTGGCTCCTGCCATGTTGCCCGAGTTTGTGGAGGGCTGGGGCAACGGCGCTCGTCCTGTGCGGCCGGTGCTGTAGGTCTAGGGCTTGGGAGATTAGATGCTGCTGGGAGTTGTAACCGGCGACTCCGGGTGCCCGAGTGGACACCGAATAATGTTGAGATGTGACAGTGAAACCCGGGGTGAAATAAAGCGCTTCCAGGGTGTGACAGCCTTTACCCTAGGTTGGCGCAGAGACCCTAGGTTGACAACACAAATGACACCCGGGATCCGTGATCTTGTGTTCGATCTTTCCTTTTCTGTGGTTGATCTCCGGGAGCCAAACGCGATTCTCTGAGAAATGTCCCGACGTACCGAAGGGCAGAATGCAGCATGGAGCCCTCGAGTGGACTCAAAGTTACCATAAATAGCTCCACGGCGTGGTGCGATGTCTGCCATTGACAGTGGCGCGAGAACCAAGTCACGCATCAGGAAAACCCTAATCTTCGTCGTATCCCCTATCGCCCAGAGGTCACACTCGGACAGGGCCCTGTTCCATGAAGTCATGCCATGCATACATGGTCTGCTATACCAAGGGTCCTTGGCACTGTCGCATAGTGTCCAGTCGCTCATCGCTCGGAGGTCAGAAGAGTGTCGCAGGGGTCCCGCCGTGGGAGAATGCACGGCAACCACTGGCGATCTCGTTCTCATGAAGTAGCATTATCTCAAAGCTATCAATCGACCGTATCAAGGGACGTTGGGCCCCCTTCCGTACCAGGAGGGTAGAGGGATGTGGTCCGAACCCAATCTCCATCTCCCGCCATAGGGCCGGCTTGTCCATCGTGCAGTTCATCGCTCATGTTGCCACCTCCAGCTGCATGTCGTACAGTATTAAGAAAGGAATATAACCAAGATATGCGGTATCATTATGGCTGACCTGAAGTGCATGAGCAGAGGCATGCCAGGGGACTTATGCGACCTGCAACTGTTTACTTGCAGCGAAGGGGAAGGGCCTAGAGCCCTGGAGACCCATGATGTCCTGCCATATTGATCGCCTGGCATGCTTCGGTGCTGCGTCAAGGTACTGCCTCGGCACGATAGGTCACGTGAGGGTGCATCAGGGCTTCAGAGTGCTGCACAAGCTGCAGTTCTCGCTGTCTGCATATCTGCAGAATGTTGTGGGGAGTTCAAAGGGGATGTGGTGGGGAGGGTCCAAGAGAATGTGCTGGTAACACTCGAGCACGTACACCAGCCCCAGTGGGCATGGCACACAGGGGCACCATTCCTTCCACACCCACCCTCTCCTCACTTCCATCCCGCGCAACCCTGAATCCTCACCTCGGCTGTGCGTTTGGTCCTCTGCCAATTCTCAGGGGCCTGCCCGTCTGCCTCTGTGCCCACAGAGTCCCGCAGGATGATCTGCAGCCCCGCCAGCGCCTTCTCCACCGCCAACTGGACGTGGCCGGGCTCTTTGTGCAACCAGCCGAGGAGGAGTGCGGTGAACAGGTCCCCTGCCGGGATGTGCAGAGTCAGTAGGGTGGTGGTCCACTGGCTTGATGCTCATGGAGTGCAAGGTTGTCCCAGGTCCTCGTGGCCTCACCAAGAGCTATTGTCACTTCACCCTGTACTCATCCCCCCCCAGCTCGCCTGTGCCGGTGACGTAGGCCTGCACCCGCGGCACCAGGATACGAAAGGTGGAAAGCGCGCCCTCTGCCTGAGGCTGCGTTGTGCTCGCGAGCACGGTCACGTGGTCTGGTTCCAAGTCCAAGCTGGTGATCACCTGGTCGTGGGTGCAAGGGAAGGGGAGTGCTGGGTGGAAGGGTTGGTTCTGGCTGCCAGCCGGGTGCTGGGGCAACCCCAGTTGCAGCTGGTGGGAGAGGCTCTGAGGTCCCTGGCGACAGATTGAGACCCTCGCTGTACGTCCCCTTCACAATGAAATTAATCTCACGATTCTTGTCCCCCGCACTGATCCTCTCGATCTCACTCACAACCGTATGGGGCCCCAGGCGGTGGAGCTGGGCACAGGCGTCCAGGGCCTCCTGCACGCTGCCGATGCTGCGCTCCGTCAGCAGCTCTGCCTCCAGCTGGTTGGGCGTCATGATGGTGGCGATGGGCGTCAACTCGCTCCGGAATGCGGGTGGGAGGTCTGGAGACACGTACAGCTGGCCGTTGTCACCCTGCACCGGGTCGCACACTGCGCATGGCGGCATGAGAGAGTGGGGAGGGGTGAGGACGATGGGGGCTTGGGGCAGGTGCTGTTAGGGGAGTGAGATTGCTATGCCAAGGCGGAGAGTTGAGCGAGCCATCCGCTACTCAGCGGTCAACTGACAATGATAACGACCTATGCAATGCCCTCCATACAGCAACTACCCGGCCACGCCTCAATCTCGGCAACATGAAGCAGACCTCAAGCATCTCGGCGCCCCCCCCTTGCAGACCCACCATACACGAGGGCCGGGTTGTATTCTCGAAGCTTCAGAAGCACACGGTGTATGGTGTGAAGGAGCGAGAGAGACCCTATGAACCCTGCTTGGGGGCAGAGAAGGAAGGGAAGGCTGGCCTGTGATGCAGTGCGGCATGTTTCCTTACATGGCTCATGCCGTCCTGTGCGGGTGCCCAAGATGGTTTCTGAGGATCCACCAGGATGGTAGGAGTGTGAGTTCCTATGATACACTCCAGCACACAACATCTGCGGTGCTTGCAAAGCAGGAGTCTTGCATGCATGCGCACCAGAGTAGCCTTCCCTAAGCCCCATCAGTACTGCCTCGGCACCCACCAGTGAGCAGGTGGGTGTACTGGGACAGGAGCCCATTGGTCTCCATGGCATCTATGAGGTCCCACAACTCCTCCCCACTCAGCACCTTCCCCTTCCACAGGGGGTAGCCCGTGTGGTTGCTGAACTGCACGGTGTTCACGGCATCCACCTCGAAGCCCAGGAGCTGCAGGGGAAATACGGCTGCCTTGTTGCCCACGCACCCTGCCACCACATGGCTTTGAATGGAAAGCACACGTGGGGAGCGTGGCATGTTGGTGGGTGCAGCGCCTGCCTCAGTCGAGGCACAGCGTAGGGGCGCGTGGACACGGTGCTTGACTCGGGATCCAGACGCGGCTGCTCACCACCAGCCCAGCGGACAGCCTCATTTACAGAACACATTGGGTATGATATCGTCGCGAGACAGGACTTCGCAGTCATTCTTTGCGTATGGTACTAATTTTACGTAAGGGATGGACTGAAGGAAAAGGTGAAAACCTGCAAAGAATGGATGGATAATGGAGGACTGGACGGCAAGGGCGGACGCCCACGCTGCATCAATTCACTCCTCCCGTCGTCTTGCCCTCGCCGTGTCCTGGGGGGAAGGGCCCCACCCAGCAAAGTGCTTGATGAGGGGCATGAGCTGTGACCCAGGGAAACGGCCCAGGCCTCCAGCGCCAGCGGCTGACTCATCAAACGAGGAGACGCTGTCCCCGAAGGTCTGCGCAGATGAGGGCTTTCCCATCTCCTGGTGTGGGGAGGAGGGCGGTTTTTGTGGCTGGGCTTGCAGCCTGGGTTCAAGGGAGGCTGGGAGAGTCGGGCTGGCGCTCTCCTCCCCGCCCTCTTCTCCCGGAACGGGTGGCAGGGTGATGGGCTCCAGCGGGATGTCCAGCAGCGCCTTTGCTCCTCCCAGTCTTTGCACCTGCATGTGTCCAGGCACACGCCCTAGAAGCACTGAGCGACTGATGTAGGAGCGGCTGGAAATGGTCGTTGAACCTTGAAATTAGGAGAAGCTCCCCAGCTTCCAGGGACCCTTCCCTCCAGAGGAGCCCTCCAGACATAACAGGCAGAACGGCCCGGGCCCCTTGCGCTGGCTCACCACGTGTCGAAGGTGGGCGATGGCGACCGGCACCGGCTCGCAGGAGTGATCCATGGTGGCCACCGGGGTCGAATGGTCCCCCGTCACCACAATGGTATACTCTGCTGGGCAGGGTGCCGTTGGACGGGGGGAACATCGGATGGCAGGGAGGCGGCGGCAGGGAAGGACATAGACGACCAGTAAGGCATGCGGCCCCCCTTGAGCTGGTCTAATCTGCAGCCCTCCCGCACACACGCCCACGCACCGCCGACACCTCCTTCCTCCCCGCTGTCCAGCCGGGCGCGCGCCAGGCGCGCCAGCAGCTGCCCGACCATGGCGTCCACGGCGCCCAGCAGCGCGGCTTTGTGTGCGGCGCTGCCATCATGCCCCGCGTCATCCACTGCCTTCACATGCAGGAAGCCCAAGTCCAGGCGGTGGGCGGAAAGCGCGGCGGCGACCGCCTGCGCCTTGGCGTGCAGCGCGGTGTGGTAGTCCCCGGTGCCCCCCGGCACGTCCAGCGCGGCCATGCCCAGGGTCAGGGCCAGGCCGCGGATGATGCGCGTGGGCGCCGCCACGCCGCCGCGCAGGCCGTGCCGCGCGGGGAAGGCCGGCAGCGCCAGGCGCGCCCCGCAGCCGCGCAGGAGCACGACGTTGGCGGGAGGGAGGCCGCGTGAGACACGCTCCGCGTTGATCGGGTGGCGGGCCAGCGCCGCACGCATCGCATCGCTGGCGGCCCTGGTGGCTGCCGCGCTGTAGCACGCGGCGCTGCGAGCGCTGGGAGGGGGCCTCTCCTTCCGAGGGCCTGCCGGCTCGTCGCCGGGCGGCCCCCCCATGTTGCCCTCTGCATCGGTGCCCTGGCCGCCACCAGCCTCCACTCCAGAGCCGTCTGCCGCCCCGTTTCCTTGCTCGCCATACCCCCCTCGCTCCTCCTCCACAGGGGCCGGGTCCAGCAGGGGCAGACCGTCCCGAAGCGGGTCGGTGCCGGTGATGGCGTCCGTCAGTCCCGGCCCGGCGATGACCACCCCCGCCCGGTGCTCGGTGGCGTAGCGCACGCGCAGGCCGAGCTCCGGGAAGCCGGGGATGGGCAAGCCGTCCAGCGCGGCGCAGAGGACAGGCCCCTCGGCCTCGAAGCGGCGGTCGGCGCGGCGGCGCAGCACGATGCCGCTGGCCGGGTCCAGCGTCGCAAAATTGGCCTTGAAGGCGATGTCCCCGGGGTCCATGAGCAGGCCGGCCCCCAGGCTTTCGAACGCGCCGCGGCCGCGGTAGCAGGCGCGGGGGTCATGACCTAGCAGGGAGAGGTGGGCGGTGTCGGAGCCGCATGCCAGGCCCGGGGCCACCGGGTCCATCAAGCCATTCAGCCCCGCCGCTGCGTTGATGGAAAGGGAGGGGGGAGTGGGGGGAGTGGGATGCAGCCGGGGGATGGGGCGAGGCGGCCAAGAGCAGGGGCCACCATGCTGGGTGGGTGGAGGGTGGTGTGGTGTCGGGGGGTGGCCAGAGGTGGGCGATCACAGCACCAGGCCAGGGAGTTTCCCACGGGGTAGGGCCAGACAAAGACCCGTGGCCCAGATCGACGCGCGGGAGATAGCTCCTTCACACCGAAAACATGGGTCTGCAACCGAACGCACCGGCGATGGCATCGAGGAATGGGGTGTGGGCTGCTTGCAATGGTGTCCGGCCCCCCAGCCCTGCTTCGTTGACGTCACCCAGGCCATCTATGAGCACGAAGGCGATGCGTTCCGGGGCCATGCTACATGATTGTGGGGTGGGAAAGTGGGAATTGTACGATGAGTGACATCGAGATGCAGTGTGTCCTCGATATATTATCGGGCGGCTTCGTGAGGGCGCGTGCTGGACCACATCCAACCTGCCGGGGGACCCTTGCTCATGCCAGCAGACGGGCACCTGCCCATCACAATCACCCTCAGAAACTAGACACTGCATTGATCCTGCATGGGGATGTATGACGCCCATTCCTTTCCAGTCCTTGTCATGAAGTATCAAACGATCGCTTAATATTGCGTGATGCAACAATGGCCACCAGATCCATGGCAGGCGCCGACGGCCACAGCGGTGACCCACATTGCTGCCTGCGCAAGGTGTGGCGTCGAGAGCAGGGCTGTCGTCCCCTCACCATCAACCTGCACATCACTCCTAGCACACACAGGTCATGGTGCTGGTTGACTCTACCCCATTGAGAAAGCATTGAAGATGGTAAGGACCATTGGGCTGCGGCAGCTGAGTGTGATAGGGGTACGGGTTTGTGTGGAGGATCGCCACTCACGAGCAGACCACAAGATAAAAATAGGCGTGGACTCAAGTATAGGTTGATGGCTGTGTAGTTTCAGTTCTCGGAAGCTACATTCAACCTTGGTTCTTTACAAATCTGTCACAGTCTGACTCTTTGATGACCACTGTGTTTGGACCACTCTTGCGCATTTGCTATGTACGCACCAACACTGGTTCCATTCCAGAAATCGTTGGGAGGTCTGCACGATGCTGGCATCTACGTGGCATCTGGCCTACTTCTGGTGGTCTACCTGCACCTGAGTGATGCCAATGACCGAGTACAACCTACGGCATGCATCTGATCGGCAGCATTGTGCTGCTGTGTAATCCATGCACACCCTACTGTGACTCGCAGGCTGGGCAAACAGGGAGCTGACCGGAGTTTGGTAGCGTTCAGAATGGATCCAGGGTCGAGGGCTACCCACGTGACTACAAACAAGATTTTTATGAGGCGCACAAATCCTGCCAGAGGCTTCCGAGCCAAATCGTTCAACGAAACTGTGTGAGACCCGCATTCCTGACGAATATCTCGCGCTTACCTCATTAGGCAAATTTCGGGTGTAACGCAATGTCCATGTCGGTAATGAGTCCCATGCTGACCACCAGCCTCTCCTCCACCATGATGCCCAAGACAGCCGCGTTCCGGCCCGCGACACAGATGCCTCGCGGCTTGAGGTGTCCTAGTCGCTCCATCCGCGCTCAGGCGAGCGGAGAGGAGAAGAAGTCGTGGATCGACCGACTTGCAGTCCCGTCTGCAGCGCTGCTCGGCGCTGCCTTGCTGCTCACGGCGACGCCCGACGCCGCGGAGGCTGCCAGGAGTGGTGGAAGAGTGGGAGGCAGCAGCTTCTCGTCCCGCCGGGCCGCCCCGGCTCCGAGCAGGTGTGGTGCGGGGTGACCATGATCTGATGTGTGAGGCTTATGAGCATGGCGTGTACATGAGCTTTGTCAAATGCGTCCTGCGCGAATGAGCATGCTGTCGATTGAATGGAGGGCTCATGCAGAGTTGAGTTTTTGAACTTATTATTGAAGTTGGCTGCGTGAACTTGACATCAGCATGATATGTCCCAGTTGCCCGCCAGGCACGTCCCCAGCCAGCCAGCGGTTTGCCACTCTCACACACTCCCTCCTATACCCTTACCAGGCCTAGCCCCGGCCCCAGCCGGCAGTACAATAGCTATAACACGTATGTCGCACCACCCCTGGGTGGCGGCATCGGCATGGGCATGCCCTTCTTTGGTGGCGGCTATGGCATGCCCTTCTATGGAGGCGGCATCGGCGTCTTCCCTAGCTTTGGGATCTCCGGCATCTTCAACATCTTCCTCATCTTCATGCTGGCAAACGTGGCCATCTCCGTGATCAGGAACTTCACGAATGGCAACGGCGGCAACAACAACTCCAAGGGAGACGAGGACTCCTGGGATGATAAGTGGTGAATGCAGGGCTTCTGGAGCTCTTCATTGCACTGCTTGATGGCACTGCTTGAGACTTGAGTAGATCATAGTGATCGTACCTTTTGACACAAGATATCCAGGTTTGGATGTAAAATCTCACAAATGGAGGCAGGGAGGTGCGTCCCGTAAGTCGGGTCACTCGTTCACAGTTGGTCTCCCAGCGCTGATTTCCCGGAATGCTCGACGAGATACCGATCAGTCCCCGCAATTATACATACAATATAAGCATATGAACCCCACAAACACCCCCGAGGGCCCACTCCTACTCAGTGTCGTGGGATGAGTGTAACACTGTACGCTCGGTGGCTGGGAAGCATGCTGAACCTGACGGGGTGCCATCGGGGCGCTTTCAGCAGAGTACATCGTGCGATGCGCCCATTCTCTTCTATATCGAAAGAATCGTACGAGTCTCAGGTAGCTTTTATTGTGAAGGCCACGGCTGGAAAGAGGTGTGGCCCAAAGACAAGCCTCAACCATGCTTCATTGATTTCGCTCCAGCAGCGGTGCTTAAACTTGTAACTCGCGCATCCGCCTCTCTCCACAGGTGGATGCCCTGAATGAGAAGTTTGTAGAGGCACGGGACGAGATTGAGTACGCCCAGGAGGATGCAGAGACGGTGCGCCATGGGTCCCTCCCCACCCCTGACTGGTCTACCCGATCAGGATCACCACCGTTCCACGTCAAATGACAGAGAGATGCCCATTTCGCCCTCTTCATTCGCACAGACATACTTCAATGAGAGCGCCGAGACTGCAAGGACCGCAGTGAATGAAGTGCTGAAGGCATACACGGAGCTGGGCGAGTCCCTGGCGGAGGACCAGCGGGGCAAGCTGCAGCGGTCCATGGGGTTGAAGATGGAGCAGCTGAAGGTGGGAAGGCTCTTGAGGCTAGAGAGGCATGCGCTGCTGCCATGGGCAAGGGTGACTGACACTGGGCTTTGGGTGAAGACAGGGCTCTAATTTTGATCGACACCTCCCTCAAAACAAGCCGATGCATTTGTTACACACAGGCAGAGATCGCACAGCTGGACCACCTGCACGCCTAGAGTGCATTTCAAAGGCCAGGGAATAGAGGGTAAAAGCATGGTACAGAGTTTTTGGTTGGCGCGAATCGCTCCGTGGAAAGGTCTGCAAAGTGGCGCTGCCCTCTGTGCCTCTGGCACCACTGGTGCTCCCGAGGCCAGCTCTGTGCGTGGATCACCCACGCCGCGACGAGGAGCGGTGGAGGGGGCGCAGCATGGGCCTCCCGCCTCTGCCTCAGGCCTCGCTGGCGATGGCGCCCCCGGACCGGGCGCCCTCCCCCTCCTCCATGCCGCGCACGAATTCGCCCAGCGCCGCCTTCATGCTTTCCAGCTCCACATGCAGCACACGGAAGGCCGCGTCCCAGCGCTTGGCGCGCTGCGCCTGCCGATCCCAGCGCTCCTGGATCTTGGCCTCGATCCTGCGGTTGGGTGGGAGTGCTGTACTTGACGCCATAGCACAGATGCCCAATCTCCTGTAATGCCTGGCAAGGGGACAGCAAGCATGCGTGAAGGTGCAGGGGAGCATGCCATCACGTCATCCCCCCGCTTCCTCCACCAGAGAGTCAACACCGCAATCCCAGCCTCGCCTGGCCCTCTCGCCAGCCGAAAGCCCCGGCGACTCCAGTGCCTCGCGCCAGGCCGCAAAGTCGTTGCGATTCGCCTGCAGTACCTGGTGCAGCCTGAAGTACTGCTCATACCGCCTGTTGAACTCCACCTGCAGCTCCATGTACTCCTGCGGGGGGGGAGGCCCAGGTGCAAGGGTTTTGAGGTTTGGCCTGAAAGGTGGGGATCAGAGGCAAGGCCTAGGAGGTGGGCTTGGTCTCAAGGAAGAGGAGGGGGGGGGGCGTAAAAAGCATCACACAAGCGCACCCGTGGACAACTTGCTTGATGAGGTGGGTGTCTCGGAGCCTCGCCTTGCCAAGACTCCCAAGGGGGTTCCCGGCCACCCAGGCATCCAGACCTCACAGCCAGCAGTCCAAGGCAGCACGACCATCGCGG